CTCATCCTTCACCAGTGTGGAATCCTCCAGGGACCCCATCCCGCTCCTTCCAGGAATCCCATCCCGCTCCGTCACCAAAGTCCCGTTTCCCAGTCACCCAGGTCTCTGAAGGCACCTTCCAGGGGCCTTGTCCTGCCCCAAACCCGGCGTGTGGCACCCTCAGGTGCCCAGGTCCTCTCCAGCACCATCGCAGCACCCTCAGGACCACATCCAGCCAACAAAGTTCCTTCCCCACAGAGCTCATCCCATGGGAACCGCATCACCCCACTCCAGGAACGGAGACCCCTCCTGGCATGGACGGATGATGGATGGATGGATGGATGGACACAGGGATGGATGGATGGATGGATGATGGATGGATGGATGATGGATGGATGGATGATGGATGGATGGATGGATGGATGGATGGATGATGGATGGATGATGGATGGATGGATGGATGATGGATGGATGGATGGATGGATGGATGGATGGATGGATGGATGGATGGATGATGGATGGATGATGGATGATGGATGGATGGATGGATGGATGGATGATGGATGGATGGATGGATGATGGATGGATGGATGATGGATGGATGGATGGATGATGGATGGATGGATGGATGACGGATGGATGGATGGATGATGGATGGATGGATGGATGGATGGACAGACAGACACCACCTCTGGACCATCCCCCGCCATCCTCCGTCCCTCCCAAGGACACGGCTCTGCCGTGCTCTCCTTTCCAGCCCCGTTTCCAGCCTGCACAGCTTCTCCTGCGCTCCAGTTCCCCGAATTTCCCCCGGTCTTGGCCGGAGCTCGCAGGGTTTGGCCGCGGGATGGGGACAGTCGGGTCACGTCTGCCCCGATGGCAACGCCAGCAGCAGCCCCCGACAGAGACCCCGGAGCGACGCCGATGTCCCCACGATGTCCCCCCTTCCCCAAGGCCACCAAGGAGGGGACAAAGCCACCTCCACCCCCGTCCCCCCGCCCGGGCGGGAGGGCCCCGCTGTTCCCCCTTCCCCTCCCCAGGCTCCGCTCCCTCCGTGCGGGGGTCCGGCGGCTCCGACCGCGCCAGATGTTTTTGCAACTGCACATCTGGGAACAATCAACCCCGGAGAAAGAACACCACAGTCCCTTTCATTCTGCTAAACCCCACCTTCCCCCAGCCTTTCCCCCCCCATTTTCTTTTCTTTTTTCTTTCTTTCTTTTTCTTTCTTTCTTTGTTTTTTTTTTTTCTTTTTTAGCTCTCCCGTTGCCAGAGAGTGGGAGAACAAAGGGAATATTAAAGGATTCCATTTTTTTTTTGGCCCCCAACCAGAGGTAAAGAACTTGGTGCCCCCATCCCTGTTTTCACACATCACTTTTTCCTCAAGGACCCGTCCCCCAAAATAAATATTAATAAAAAGTCCATTTTCTAATCAATCTCTTTCCACGATGGAAAATAAAAAAAAATAAAACCAACCAACAAACACACGGCTTCCTCCAGGCTTTGGGGTATTTTTAGACTTTTTGGAAGTGGTTAAAAATCTCCAACAACTTCCAGGCCTCCAAGAAGTGTCCCCTCCCCCCCCCCCCCCCCCCCCCACCCGGCTGCCGTTCCTTCAGCACCCCAAAAATCGGGGGGGTTTGGCGTTTTGAGCTTAAAAAGCTGAAAACAACTTTTCCAAGCTCTTACCCGATGGAGTTTTAAGGTGATTTCACAGAGTCCCCAAAATGGGGGTTCAGCCCCGTTTGCTGCTGGGGGCGGGGGGGAATTCCCGGGAATTGGGGTGGGTTTCCCTCGCCTGGTCCTTACCAGTGAGTGCCGGCTCTGCCCTCGCCCACCGCCTCGCTCTCCTCTCTCTGCTTCCCCAAAACTCTTGAAATGAGAGTCAGAAAAAACAAAAAAAACAGAAAAAAACCCAAAAAACCTCCTACCTCCAGCACGGGGGATCCGCTGGGTCCTAAAGCCACACCTGAGCCGGCCCCTTCCTCCTCCCGCGCTGCCTGGGAGGGGGAAAACCCACAAATAACCCCAAAAAAACCATCCCCCAGAGCGCACCGCTGCCAGGGGCGCCGGGCATGGGGGGTTTTGTTGTTTTTGGGGGTTTTTCCCGGCGGGATGAGTTTAAAATCCATGGAAAAGCGAGAAGGGGGGAGGATCCCGCGCGGAGCGGGCCGGGGTTTGTGGGGCTGCAGGGAGGGAGGGATGGAGGGAGAATTTTTTCCGGGGATTTTTCTGTCATTTTGTGACAGCTCTTAGGGAAAAAAAAATCACTGCACCCCCAAAATCTGCGATCCTGGGGTCGCAGCATCCCTCCCGATCCAGGGGTGGATTCCATCCCGATCCAGAGGCGGCGATGCTGCAGCCCCGCGGGGGATTTATCCCGGGACGGAGCGGGAAAAGGACCCAGATCACCCAAATTCTGCTTTTCCCAGCCAGGCCGGAGCTGCCGGGGCTCTGCAGCCCCCGGTGCCGGCGTGGGGCCCCTTCCCTGCTCCTGGAGGAGGATCCCGGTAGGATCGGGATGATCCCAAACCCCCCGAGCTCGGCAGGGACACAGAGCAGAGGTGGGGGGTGAATCCTGCAGGTTTGGGGTGAAAACCCAGGAAAGGAGCGCAGGGAGGGCGCTGGGGTGGGGAAGGAGGTCTCTGGAGACCGGAATGGGGGTGAGCAGAGGAGATTTTCTCCCCTGGGGTTGGATTCCGAGGGCTGAGCACCAGGATAGGCTCTGAGAGCTGCAAAACGCAGGGAAAAAGGGATTTTCAGAGCTGGATGAGAGGCAGACGGGGCTGGAAGGTGCTCCTATCTCCTCTCCTCTGGTTTTCCAGGCTGAGGAACGAATGAAACCAACCCAAGGGCCCCAAAACCAGCTCAGTTCCAGGCTGAGGAATGAATAAAACTACCCAAAGGACCCCCAAACCACCTCAGTTTCCAGGCTGAAGAATGAATAAAACCACCCAGAGTACCCCAAAACCACCTCAATTTCCAGGCTGAAGGACGGGTACAACAGGACCCCAAAACCACCTCAATTTCCAGGTTGAGGAATGAATAAAACCACCCAAAGGACCCCAAATCCACCTCAATTTCCAGATTGAGGAATGAATAAAACCACCCAGAGTATCCCAAAACCACCTCAATTTCCAGGTTGAGGAATGAATAAGACCACCCAGAGTATCCCAAAACCACCTCAATTTCCAGGCTGAAGGATGGGTAAAACCATCCAAAAGACCCCAAATCCACCTCAATTTCCAGGTTGAAGGATGGGTAAAACCACCCAAAGGAACCCAATCTACCTCAGTTTCCAGGCTGAGGAATGAATAAAACCACCCCAAGGACCCCAAAATCACCTCAGTTTCCAGGCTGAAGGATGGGTAAAACAGGACCCCAAAACCACCTCAGTTTCCAGGCTGAGGAATGAATAAAACCACTCGAAGGACCCTAAAACCACCTCAGTTTCCCGGTTGAAGGATGAATAAAACCACCCAGAGTACCCCAAAACCACCTCAGTTTCCAGGCTGGAGCATGGGTAAAACAGGACCCCAAAGGACCCAAAACCACCTCAGTTTCCAGGCTGAGGAATGAATAAAACCACCCAGAGTACCCCAAAACCACCTCAGCTTCCAGCCTGAAGGATGGGTAAAACCATTCAAAAAACCCCAAAACCACCCCTGTTTCCAGGATAAAGGATGAATAAAACCACCCCAAAGACCCCAAAACCACCTCATTTTCCAGGCTGAAGAATGGGTAAAACCAGCCCAAGGACCCCAAAACCACCTCCATTTCCAGGCTAAAGGATGAATAAAACCACCCAAAGGACCCCAAAACCACCCTTGTTTCCAGGCTGAAGGATGAATAAAACCATCCAGAGTACCCCAAAAGCACCTCAGTTTCCAGGTTGAGGAATGAATAAAACCAGCCCAAGGACCCCAAAGCCACACTGGTTTCCAGGCTGAAGGATGGGTAAAACAGGACCCCAAAACCACCTCAGCTTCCAGCCTGAAGGATGGGTAAAACCAATCAAAAGACCCCAAAACCACCTCAGTTTCCAGGTTGAGGAATGAATAAAACCACCCAGAGTACCCCAAAAATATCTCAGTTTCCAGGTTGAAGAATGGGTAAAACAGGACCCCAAAACCACCTCAATTTCCAGGCTGAGGAATGAATAAAACGACCCAAAAGACCCCAAAACCACCTCAGTTTACAGGCTGAGGAATGAATAAAACCACTCCAAGGACCCCCAAACCACCTCAATTTCCAGGTTGAAAAATGGGTAAAACCACCCCAAGGACCCCAAAACCACCTCAGCCGCTCGTGGGGCACCATCCTCATCCCATCCCCGTTCAGCCCCACCCGGGGCAGGAGCCGCCTGTCAATAATTCAATGAACTTTTCCACCCCCGGGGCCGGGACCATCCAAGCCCCAGAGCCCCGGAGCGCTCGGAAATTCCGCCGGGAACGGGCAGAGCCGCCGAGGGCTCGGAGCGGGGAGGGATTTTCCAGCCTGGGTTAACAACCGCAGCCTTGGCCCGGCTTGCAGGAAAGCTCTTACCTCTGCTTGTGCCTCATTTCCTGCCCTAATCCCGGCTCCCCAGGGCAGGGAGGCGCCGCCGGCGCTCGGAGGGGGTTCCGAATTTCCATGGAAGAGGATCCCGGGCTGGGAAGCGGCTGGAAAAGCCCTGGAGATCCTGCGGGGAGCTGCTCCTTCCCCCGTGGGATGTGGCATCTCTGTCTCCCGGTTTTTCCTCGGTGGAATGAGCGAGGTTTTGGAGTCTCAGCCAGGACACCTGGGCTTTTCCAGCGATTGTTGTTATTTTCTAGGAAATTCCAGCTGGAGAGAGGTTGTTCAGCCCAGTTTGGGCTGCAGGAATCCCAGCGGTGTCATCCCTGGCTCCAGGCCCTGCTTTCGAGCATTTCCCAGCCTGGATGGGAACGAGGTGACCCCGAAACCTCCTCCTGCTCCAGGGTTACTCACCCGTGCCATCCCAAACCCAAACCCAGCCCCAGCGGGCAGCACGGAGGAGCAGCCAAGAAAATAAGTGTTAATTTATTGGACAAGACCCGTGACAGCCCCGTCCGGAACCCGCGAGCGGCGCCGTCGCCTTCCCGACGGGGAAAGGAGTTAAAAAATAGAGAATTTGTGGGGTCTGTAACGCTACAGAGGTCCCAGCCCCGAGCAGAGGGGCTCTGCCCGAGCATTCCAAGCGGAGAAGGGGCCCAGGCGCTGGGGATGGAGCAGCAGCCTTGGCGAGCTGGGAACGGGGACTGTAAACTCCCTACACATCTAGAGGGGACTGGGGCTTCACAGTGTCACAGCTGGGGGTGTGGGGACATCAGGGACCCCCCTCCTGGCGGCCTGGGCTGGCCACGAGGCTCAAACCGTGGCCAGCATGGGAGTGGGGGGAGTCCTGCAGGAAGAGCCGTGCTGGATCCTCCTCCTCCTCCTCCTCTGGATCTTCTCGCCCGTTCCTCCTCCACCTCCTGCTCCTCTGGGCTGCGGCCACGGGATCAGGGTGGTTGTGGGATCAGGGTGGTTGTGGGATCAGGGTGGTTGTGGGATCAGCGTGGCCACGGGATCACCATGGCTGTGGGCTCATTGTGGCCATGGGATCAGGGTGGCCAGAGGATCACCATGGCCATGGGAGCAGTGTAGCCATGGGATCACCATGGCTGTGGGATTCGAGATCAGAGTGGCCAGGGAATCAGGGTGGCCACGGGATCAGTGTGGCCACAGGATCACCATAGCCATGGGATCAGGGTGGCTGTGGGATCAGTGTGCCCACAAGATCACCATGGCCATGGGATCAGGGTGGCCATGGGATCAGGTTGGCTGTGGGATCAGGGTGGCTGTGGCACCAATGTGGCTGTGGGACCAGGGATCAGAGTGGCCAGGCAATCAGGGTGGCCATGGGATCACCATGCCTATGGGATCAGTGTGGCCATGGGATCAGGGTAGCTGTGGGATCAGAGATCAGTGTGGCCACAGGATCACCGTGGCTGTGGGATCAGTGTGGCCATGGGATCACCGAGACCGTGGGATCATTGTGGCCACAGGATCACCGTGGCTGTGGGATCAGCCTGGCCATGGGATCAGGGTGGCTGTGGGATCAGCCTGCCCATGGGATCACCACGGCTGTGGGACCAGTGTAGCTGTGGGATCACCATGGCCGTGGGATCACCGTGGCTGTGGGATTCACATCTGCGATGCCAAGGGATCCCGCCTGCCGCATCCCCGCTTTTTCCGGGATAAATAAATTAAGGAAGTGTCCGAGGGCTGGGGTGGTGGCACAGCTGGCACTGCTATCTCACGGCCAGGGACATCCTGGGTGTGGCAAACAGGGGCTGGTCCAGGGGTGGCCAGGCCGGCTGCTGGCTCAGCTCCTTCTCCAGCCTCTTGAAAAGCTTCTTGGAGGCCTTTTTCCGGCGCAGCCTTCGGAAGCAGCCGAGCAAGCCGTGATCCAGGGCGGTCTGGGCCAGAGCGGGAGGGAAACGGGGTTGGGGGGAGGACGGGAGAGCCCCGTGCCCACCTGGGGAGCTCCAGGGGGATCCCCCATCCCAAAGCCCCCCCTGACCCACCTCCAGCACGAAGGCAGCGAAGAAGTTGAGGGCAGCAATGCCCAAGAGGAGCAGCTTGAAGCTGAAATCCTCGATGGGCTGGAGCTTCAGCAGGGATTTGGGGAAGCCCAGCGGGTACAGGGTCAGCCAGATCATCAGGCCGAAGAGCAGGATGAGGACGAGCAGGAAGAGCACTGGGGACAGGAGGGGGCGGGGTGAGGGGTGTGAGGGGCAGGGGACGGAGGGCTGGTGGCTCTCGGTGTCCCATGGGTGTCCCTGTGGGTGTCCTCGTGGGTGTCCCATTGATGTCCCCATTGATGTCCCCATGGGTGTCCCATGGGTGTCCCTGTGGGTGTCCCATGAGTGTCCCCATGGGTGTCCTATGAGTGTCCCCCTGGGTGTCCCTGTGGGTGTCCCATGGGTGTCACCATGGGTGTCCCTGTGGGTGTCCCATGGGTGTCCCTGTGGGTGTCCCATGGGTGTCCCTGTGGGTGTCCCATTGATGTCCCTGTGGGTGTCCCATTGTTGATGTCCCCATTGATGTCCCCATGGGTGTTCCACTGATGTCCCCATTGATGTCCTTGTGGGTGTCCCATTGATTTCCCCATTGATGTCCCTGTGGGTGTCCCATTAATGTCCCCACGGGTGTCCCATTGATTTCCCCATTGATGTCCCCATGGGTGTCCCCGTGGGTGTCCCCAAGGGTGTTCCATGGGTGTCCTATGGGTGTCCCACTGATGTCCCCGTGGGTGTCCCATGGGTGTTCCATTGATATCCCCATTGATGTCCCCATGGGTGTCCCTGTGGGTGTCTCCGTGGGTGTTCCATTGATATCCCCATTGATGTCCTTGTGGGTGTCCCATTGATTTCCCCATTGATGTCCCCGTGGGTGTCCCCGTGGGTGTCCCCTGGGTGTCCCACAGGTGTCCCGTGGGTGTCCCCGTGCCCTCACCGTTGGTGTAGAGTGGCTCCCGGAAGGGGTAGCCCTTGGACATGGCCACGGCCAGGATGAGGTACTGGAAGCCGCTGACGCAGAACAGGACGGTGTTCTCGTAGTTGGGCAGGTTCTGGGGCGCTGTCACCGTGCTGTTCAGGGGGACATACCTGGCACAGGGGACAGGGGACAGGGTCAGCAGAGAGGCCAAGGGGGGTGGACACCACCCCTCATTCTCCATTGGTTACAACTTTGGGAAGAGCAGGGGCAATTTCTACTCTGGGAGCATGGGATCCCTCCCATCCCTTGGGAATAGGAGCTGGGCCAGGGGGGTTTGGGCAGGAGATCAGGAAAGGTTCTTCCCCAGAGGGTGCTGGGCACTGCCCAGGGAATGGTCCCAGCCCCGAGAGCTCCAGGAGCCTTTGGACAGGCTGGGATTGTTGGGGTGTGTGTGCAGGGCCAGGGGTTGGACTGGATGATCCCTTCTAGCTGAGGACATTCCCTGGTTCCCTGTCTGCTGCCACATCCCGGATCCCAGGACAGACCCTGGGCTGTGCCACAACCTCAGCACTGTCCCCACCACCAAACGCAGGGCGGGTTCAGGTGGGATTTTGGGCAAGACTTCCTCCTGGGACAGCCTGACCAAGGGAGGGTGGAATCACCACCCCTGGAAGTGTCCAAAAACCCCACGGACGTGGCACTTGTGTGTGGGTCTCAGATTCTAAGAAAGAAATGAGAGTTTCTAGCCAGGCAGACACCTGGGAAAGAGCTGGAGAATAATGTAAATAATTCTTTATCTCTCTTGTTCCCATTGTTTACAGTTAAGTTATATCACTCTGTGTCAAGCACTTTACACCAGTGCTGTGAGTTGTTTTCACTTCAGGACCAGTGGAGTTGGTCCTCATGAAGCTCTGGTGTATTTTGAATAAATCAGAGTTTCATTCTCACAGCCTTGAGTCAAGTCTCTTCATTCCCGTCCTGCCTCGACAGCGACACTCGTGGTTTAATGGCAATACAGGGGTTGGACTCGCTGACCCTTTCCAAGCCCGGAATCCCACAGTTCCCAGCCGTGGGGCCCTCACCAGCTCTGTGAGACGGTGATGAAGTAGCTGAGGAGCTGCACAGTGACCAGCAGGGCTGTCTGCAGCAGGAGGCTGCCCAGCACCAGCCCGCTGATCAGGGCTCCCTGCGGGCGCCGCACGCCCAGCGCCAGCGCTGGCCCCGTGCGCCCCATCAGCACGGCCACCGTGGTGGTGATCACCAGGTCGAAGAACAGGAACTGGAAATCACTCAGGTTGGTGTTGATCTGCAGAGGAGGGAAGGGACAGGCTCGGACTCAGTGGGATTGATGCTTTAGGGTTTTAGCTTTCATATTTTCTGTGTGTTTGTGACCCTGCAGGTCTTTAGTGCAGGACTCCAAACTCCGCACACGGCTCAGCTGCTGCTCTCCCGGTTTGGGCACACACAACAATTCCTCTCCAGGCCTGGCAATCAAGGGCACCTCACTGCCTCAGGCCCCGGGAAATTAAACAAAAGGGAGATGGGGGGAGCAAACTTGGGGTAAATTACTTCATTAGCTGAAGCTGGAATTGGAGGATTAACCCCAATATGCAAATGGACCGGAATTATCAAAGTGTGAAAACCGTGGTCCATTTTTGGGTGTAGCCCCTGGTGGGGTTTCATCTTCACTAAATGAACCTGAAGGCCCTTCAATAAATACAAGTGCTTCTTATTCCCATAATTTTGTCTAAAAAGCATCGGTGCCCCAGGAATTCCCGAGAAAAGCAGGGATTGGGGATGGGAACTCACGGTGTAGAGCAGGAGCACGGACACGAACTGGACCAGGCTGTACAGGGCCATGTACTTGAAGACCCCGAAGGAGGTGACCAAGGAGCACCGGCCCTCCCTGGGATGGGGGGGACACGGCGTCACCACCGGCCACCCCTCCCTGGGAGCAATCCCAAGGGGAATTCCCCCACGTTCCCGGGATTCCCCCGCTCACCGGATGACCCTGGGCACGCACTCGATGGTGGCCACGCGGGAGGTGAAGGGCGAGGCCACCGACGCCTCGGCCTCGGACAGAGAGATGCCGACGTCGGCCGCCCGCAGCGCCCCGCAGTCGTTGGCGCCGTCCCCGCACATCCCCACGCAGTAGCTGCGGGAAAGGGACCCCGCGGTCCTTAGGGAATGGGAAAGGGACCCCGCAGTCCTCAGGGAATGGGGAAGGGATCCCACATCCTCAGGGATCGGAAAGGGACACCATGTTCCTCAGGGAATGGGAAAGGGATCCCGTGTTCTTCAGGGAATGGGAAAGGGACCCCGCAGTCTTCAGGGATGGGAAAGGGACCCCACGGTCCTCAGGGATGGGAAAGGGACCCCACATTCTGCAGGGAATGGGGAGGGGACCCCACATTTCTCAGGGTACAGGGAAAGGGATCCCACGTTCCTCAGGGAATTGGGAACGGGTTCTCACATTCCTCAGGAATGAGAAAACGACCCCACATTACTCAAAGAATGCACGAAAGGGATTCCACATTCCTAAGAGAATGAGAAAAGGGATCCCACATTCCTCAGGGAATTGCGAAGGGGATCCCACATTCCTCAGGGAATGGGAAAGCGACCCCACACTCCTCAAAGAATGGGAAAGGGACCCCAAATTCCTCAGGGAATGGGAAAGGGACACCATGTTCCTCAGGGAATGGGAAAGGGATCCCACATTCCTCAGGGAGTACAGGAAATGGACCCCACATTTCTGAGAAAATGGGGAAAGGGATTCCACATTCCTAAGGGAACGAGAAAAGGGATCCCACATTCCTCAGGGAATTGGGAAGGGGATTCCACATTCCTCAGGGAGAACAGGAAAGGGACCCCACATTCCTCAGGGAGTACAGGAAAGGGACCCCACATTCCTTAGGGAATGAGAAAGGGACCCCACATTCCTTAGGGAATGGGAAAGGGATCCTCCATTCCTCAGGGGATGGGAAAGGGACCCCACACTCCTCAGGGGATGGGAAAGGGACCCCACACTCCTTGGGGAACAGGGAAAAGCCCTGGCTCGGCCCGGAGAAGCTGTGGGTGCCCCATTCCAGGCTGGAGCCGGCGAAAGTGTCCCTGCCCGTGGGTGCCACCAGGTGATGTCTGAGGTGTCTCCCAGCCAGCCCACCCCGGAATTCCAGGATTATTCCCCCGGGATCCGGCCCCTGGCCTCACTTGAGCTCCTGCAGGCTGCAGACCAGCTGGGTCTTCTGCTCGGGCAGCATGCGCGCGAACACCGTGGCACGGAGCAGGATCTGCAACGGGGAGGAGCCGTCGGCATTCCGGGGGCAGGACACTGGGAACGTCCTGCTGGGAACTGGGAATGTCCACCTGGGAACTGGGAATGTCCAACAGGGCACTGGGAATGTCCTGCTGGGAACTGGGAATGACCAACTGGGAATGTCCTGCTGGGAACCGGGAATGTCCTGCTGGGAATGTCCAGCTGGGAACTGGGAATGTCCTGCTGGGAACTGGGAATGTCCAGCTGGGAATGTCCAACTGGGTACCGGGAATGTCAAACTGGGAATGTCCAGCTGGGCACCGGGAATGTCCTGCTGGGAACTGGGAATGTCCAACTGGGAATGTCCAGCTGGGAACTGGGAATGTCCAACTGGGAACGGGGAATGTCCAGCTGGGAACTGGGAATGTCCAGCTGGGAACGGGGAATGCCTAACTGGGAACTGGGAATGCCCAGCTGGGAACTGGGAATGTCCAACTGGGCACCGGGAATGTCAAACTGGGAATGCCCAGCTGGGAATGTCCAGCTGGGAACTGGAAATGTCCAACAGGGAACTGGGAATGTCAAACTGGGAATGTCCAGCTGGGAAGTGGGAATGTCCAACTGGGAACTGGGAATGTCAAATTGGGAATGTCCAACTGGGAACTGGGAATGTCCTGCTGGGAACTGGGAATGTCAAACTGGGAATGTCCAACTGGGAAGTGGGAAAGTCCAACTGGGAACTGGGAATGTCCAACAGGGAATGTCCAGCTGGGAACTGGGAATGTCCAGCTGGGAATGTCCAGCTGGGAACTGGGAATGTCCCACTGGGAATGTTCAGCTGAGAACTGGGAATGTCCCACTGGGAACTGGGAATGTCGAACAGGGCACTGGGAATGTCCAGCTGGGAATCTCACAGCAGCCAAAGAAACAGCCACAGGGAGCTCTGGTTTGGAGCAGTGGGGCTGCAGTGGTAAAGCCCGCAGAGGTCAAAGGATGGAGAGTTCCCTGTGGCACTGGAAACTTCCTTGTGGCACTGGAAGGTTCCCAATGGCACTGGAAGGTTCCCAATGGCACTGGAAGGTTCCCTGTGGCACTGGAAGGTTCCCAATGGCACTGGAAGGTTCCCAATGGCACTGGAAGGTTCCCTGTGGCACTGGAAGGTTCCCAATGGCACTGGAAGGTTCCCTGTGGCACTGGAGGGTTCCCTGTGGCACTGGAAGGTTCCCTGTGGCACTGGAGGGTTCCCAATGGCACTGGAGGGTTCCCAATGGCACTGGAGGGTTCCCAATGGCAATGGAAGGTTCCCAGTGGCACTGGACGGTTCCCTATGGCACTGGAGGGTTCCCAGTGGCCCTGGAAGGTTCCCAGTGGCACTGGAAGTTTCCCAATGGCACTGGAGGGCTCCCCAAGGCTTCCTGCCCCACTCACCCTGGGCAGCAGCTCGGAGAAGTGCTCGCAGACCACCTGGAAGGATTTCCCGTTGAGGGCGAAGTGGCAGTGCCGGGGTGGGAGGGAGGAGCCGTCCTGCTGCTGCAGGCCCTGCAGGAAAACAGCTCCAGCTCCAGCCCAAATCCCTGCGGGGCCCCCAGGCCGAGCCAGGATCCGCCCAGAGCAGCGGGAATGGATCCCCAAAATCCCAATTCCCAGTCCCAGAGCAGCGGGAATGGATCCCCAAAATCCCAATTCCCAGCGGGGCTGTTTGGGGTGCAGGGCTGGGCTGACCCAGCCATCCATGGGGACATGTTTGGAGCTGCCATTCCAGCCTGGATCCCTGGATGTGCTCCAGGGAAAGGCAGGAGCAGCTGAGCCCCTCCCAGAGGATGGATTTATGAGGAGAGGGATCACAGCCTCGATTGCCTCCAAGGATAAGGATGCTGGAAAAGCCCTTCCCATCCCTGGGAGGGCTCAGGGCCAGGCTGGAGCACCCTGGGATAGTGGAAGGTGTCCCTGCACAGGGAATGGGACGATCTTTGAGGTCCTTTCCAACCCAACCCATTCTGGGATTCCGGGATTCCCAGGACTGTGGAGAAAGCCAGATTTGAGGGACTCAATTTTTTAGATATTGGGAAAAAATTCCTCCCTGGCACGGGATCCCAAAGCAGCTGTGGCTGCCCCTGGAGCCCTGGAGGTGCCCAAGGCCAGGTTGGACAGGACTTGGAGCACCCTGGGATGGTGGAAGGTGTCCCGGCACATGGAATGGGATGAGCTTTAAGGTCCCTCCAACCCAAATGGCGCCGGAATTCCGGGATTCCATGAAAAACCAACCCCCTGCAGGGTGCCTGGGCAGTTTGGTGTCCTGGGCTCTCACCTCGGGCTGCTCCTCGCCCTGGGAGTGCTCGGCCAGGACGAACTTGAGGGCGGCGGGTTTGTCGTGGCCGGGCGGCGAGGCCGTGACGAAGATCACGCCCTCCCTGGGCTCCACCATGCGGCACCCCCGCGCCACATTCATGGCTGTCAGCATGTTGTCCCCTGCCAGGGACACGTGGGCCATCAGCAAGGAGGTTTTGGCACGTCCAGGCCAAGAGGAGCAGCTCCAAGCTGCCCTGTCCCCTCTCCCGGCTTCCCTCTGCTTTCCTCCAAAACCTCCTGCCTGCCCTGCCCCGAAGAAATGTGGGTTCTCCTGCCTGGAAAACACCCAGAGGTGACCCTACACCCCCTGCACTGGGCACGGAGTTTGGGATTCCTGGGGTGGGGTTCCTGGTGGGGATCTGGTGGGGTTCCTGGGGTGGGATTTCTGGTGGGATTCCTGGTGGGATTCCTCGTGGTGATCTTGTGGGGTTTCTGGAGTGGGGTTCCTGGTGGAGTTCCTGGTGGGGTTCCTGGGGTGGGATTTCTGTTGGGATTTGTGGTGGGGTTCCTGGTGTGGGGTTTCTGGGGTGGGGTTCCTGGTGGGGTTCTTGGGGTGGGATTTCTGGGGTGGGGTTCCTGGTAGGGATTCTGAGGTAGGGTTCTTTGTGGGGTTCCTGGGGTGAGATTTATGGTGGGATTTGTGGTGGGATTCCTGGTGCTGATCTGGTGGGGTTTTTGGAGTGGGGTTCCTGGTGGGGTTTCTGGGGTGGGATTTCTGGTGGGATTCCTGGTGTGGGGTTTCTGGGGTGGGATTTCTGGTGGGATTCCTGGTGGTGATCTGGTGGGGTTCCTGGGGTGGGATTCCTGCTGGCATTTGTGGTGGGGTTCCTGGTGGTGATCTGGTGGGGTTTCTGAGGTGGGGTTCCTGGGATGGGATTTCTGTTGGGATTCCTGGTGGGATTCCTGGTGTGGAGCTCCTGGTGGGATTCCTGGGGTGGGATTCCTGCTGGGGTTCCTGGGATGGGATTTCTGTTGGGATTCCTGGTGGGATTCCTGGTGTGGAGCTCCTTGTGGGGTTCCTGGTGTGGAGCTCCTGGTGGGGTTCCTGCTGGGAAAGCCCTTTCTCCCTGCACACTGCCCAGGACTGCCCGTGTGCCGCTCCCTCCCAGGGTCACCTGTCACCATGACGGGGCGGATGTTGGCGCTCCTCAGCAGCTGGATCACCGGGGCAGACTCCGGCTTCAGCACGTTCTTCATCACCAGGAACCCCAGGAAGGTCAGGCCGCTCTCCACGGAGTCCCTGGTGGGAGACACGGAGCCTTTCACCCCCTCCACCACCAGCACAGAGCATCAGGGGGTGTGAGGAGCTGAAACCCATCTGGGAACCAGCCGGGGATTCCCTCTGTGTGGATCAGGGTTGAATTCCATGCAGGGCACCTTGGGAGCGAGTGAGGAGGTGGAGAGGGAGCGTTGGCACCCACCTGGGGAGCTGCAGGGCCTCCTCAAAGGTGGCCACCGTGCCCAGGGCTTTGCAGGCCAGAGCCAGGACCCGGAACCCGTCGGCGGTGTAGTGCCGGAGCACCTGGGAGAAATCCGGGGGCACTGGAAAAGCGAGGCCAGAACAGCTCCTGAGGGAACCCCGGCTCCGGAAGGGGACACGGAGCTCTGGGGTGTGGGTGCTCAGGAGCAGCTGCACCTCAGGGAGCCTGGAGATGCCAGAATGGGCTGGGGGAAGCTCTCCTCATCCCAAGGAACCTGAAAATCCCATCCTGGACTGGGGGAAGCTCTCCCCACCCCCAAGGGACCTGGAGATCCCATCCTGGGCTGGGGAATGCTCTCCTCATCCCAAGGAGCCTGGACATCCCATCCTGGGCTGGGGGAAGCTCTCCCCACCCCAAGGGAGCTGGGGGTCCCATCCTGGACTGGGGAATGCTCTCCTCATCCCTAAGGGGCCTGGAGATCCCATCCTGGGAAGCCCCCAACCCCATTCCCCATCTTCTGGCTCCCCTTTCCTTTCCCTCCTGTGGCTGGAGCCACCCCAAAGCCTTTGGGATCCGCCCCATGGCATTCCCGAGGATAATTCCCTGGGGGATGAGCCTCAGGGGTGCAGCCAGCAGGACTCGGGGGTCAGCCCCATCTCCCAGTACAAACCAGTTTCCCTCCTGCACAGACTGGCCACCATCTCCGGGGCGCCCTTGACGAAGGCGTGGGCCGAGGCCTCTCTGGGCAGCTTGACCAGGACGCTCATCCTCTGCAGGGACGAGGAGAACGGGAAACGCCGCAGGATCCCCAGCGGGGCCTGGTGCCTCTGTGGAAATTGGGATCAGGGCCGGGCAGGAATTCCCCCGGGAGGCAGCTCCAGGAGGCAGGAATTCCCCCGGGAGGCAGCTCCAGGAGGCAGGAATTCCCCCAGGGAGGCAGGAATTCCTCCAGGGATGCAGGAATTCCTCCAGGAGGCAGCTCCAGGAGGCAGGAATTCCTCCAGGAGGCAGGAATTCCTCCAGGAGGCAGGAATTCTCCCAGGAGGCAGGAATTCCCCCAGGAGGCAGGAATTCCCCCAGGATTCCTCCAGGGAGACAGGAATTCCCCCAGGAGGCAGCTCCAGGAAGCAGGAATTCCCCAGGGAGGCAGGAATTCCTCCAGGAGGCAGGAATTCCTCCAGGATTCCTCCAGGAGGCAGGAATTCCCCCGGGAGGCAGGAGGGTGGGGAGCCTTCATGCCATTACCCTGTCCCGAGGCTGCTCCTCCTCTGGCGGAGGTTTCACCACGGCCAAGACCTTCACCTCGAACTGCCGGAACGCCGCCGGGAGCTCCCCTTCCTCCTCCTCCTCCTCCTCCTCCATCATCTCCAGGCGCTGAAACCGAGAGGGCAAAACCCTGAGATTCCCAACACCTCCTGTGGGTCTCAGAGTCAGAGTTTCCAGCCTGGCAAAGAATGTAAATAATTCTTTATCTCTCTTGTTGCTCCCATTGTTTGCAGTTAAGTTCTATCACTCCTCAGCGGGCACTGTACACCAATGCTGTGAGTTGTTTTCACCTTGGGACCAGTGAAATTGGAATTACCTCACAGAGCTCTGTATAAAGGAGCGTTTTAGTCTCAGTGTCAGCGTTCAGGAGCACACACCATCACTGGATATGATTATCTGCAGGTGCTTTTATTGGGAGCTCTGGGAATCAGGGGTACAGACCCAAATCTGACTCCGACACGGCTTTCGAGCCGAACGTATTTTATATTCTATCGTTATATAACTTACATAATAATTATTAAACTTTTATCGTTCTATTTTATACATTGACACGAGTTTCTCGTGATCTTTCTTAGGCCCCTGACCACAGTTTCTCCTGGTTATTCTTACGATCTAACAGTAATTATATTTAATTACTAAACAACCATCACATCTAACAATTTATCATGTACTAGCTACACAGGTGCAGCTCTAGCAAGTACAAGTTCTTCATGTGCTTAGGGTATTTATTTTTCCAGGGCCTACTAAGCTTATTTTTCCTTTTAACCCTAAACCCCCATGATTTTAAAACCCTTTTACTATCATCGTCACCCGGAGCTTCTGCCTGGCTGGAAACCCGAGACCCACATCCCCCCTCTGCGCCTCACCCAGCCGGTGGATTCCAGCATTTTGAGGTCCACGGGGTCCCCGACGAGCTGTCCCCGCAGCGGTGCCACGGCGTGGCAGGTGGCCAGGGCGTAGAGCAGGGCGCCGGCGGGCAGGCAGCGGGGCTCGCGCACCATGGGCAGGAAGCGCTGCTGCTCCAGGGGCACCACGCCCCACACGTCCAGCCCCTCCTGGGTCAGCGTCCCGGTCTGCGGGCACAGCGCCGTGGGTCTGGGGGCAGCCTGGGCACCCACTCTGCCCCACACATCCAACATGTCCTGGTCTGTGGGCACAGCACCGTGGGTCTGGGGGGCAGCCCGGGCACCCGCCCTGCCCCACACGCCCAGTGCGTCCCAGTCTTTGGGCACAGCGATGTGGGTCTGGGGGGCAGCCCGGGCACCCACCCTGCCCCACACATCCAGTGTGTCCCAGTCTGCAGGCACGGCACTGTGGGTCTGGGGCACAGCCTCGGTGTTCACCCGCCCTGCCCCACATGTCCAGCGCGTCCCGGTCTTTCGGCACAGCGCTGTGGGTCTGGGGGGCACAGCCCCGGTGCCCATCCGCCCTGCCCCACATGTCCAGTGTGTCCCAGTCTTTGGGCACAGCGCTGTGGGTATGGGGGGCACAGCCCCAGTGCCCGCCCTGCCCTGCCCCACACATCCAGCACATCCCGATCTGCAGGCACAGCGCTGTGGGTCTGGGGGGCACAGCCCTGGTGCCCACCCTGCCCCACATGTCCAGCACGTCCCAGTCTTTGGGCACAGCGCCATGGGTCTGGGGGGCACAGCCCTGGTGCCCACCCTGCCCCACACAACCGGCACGTCCTGGTCGACAGGCACAGCGCCGTGGGTCTGGGGGCAGCCCGGGCACCCACCCTGCCCCACACATCCAGTGCATCCCGGTCTGCGGGCACAGCGCTGTGGGTCTGGGGGGCACAGCCTCGGTGCCCACCCTGCCCCACACATCCAGCCCCTCCTGGGTCAGTGTCCCGGTCTGTGGGCACAGTGCCGTGGGTCTGGGGGGCAGCCCGGGCACCCACCCTGCCCCACACATCCAGCACGTCCCAGTTTTTGGGCACAGCGCTGTGGGTCTGGGGCACAGCCCCGGTGCCCGCCCTGCCCTGCCCCACACGTCCAGCCCCTCCTGGGTCAGTGTCCCGGTCTGTGGGCACAGCACCGTGGATCTGGGGGGCACAGCCCAGGCGCCTGCCCTGCCCCACACATCCAGCACGTCCCAGTCTTTGGGCACAGCGCCGTGGGTCTGGGGCACAGTCTTTGTGCCTGCCCTGCCCCACATGTCCAGCACATCCCAGTCTTTGGGTACAGGGCCGTGGGTCTGGGGCACAGCCTCGGTGCCCATCCGCCCTGCCCCACACGTCCAGCAGGTCCTGGTCTGTGGGCACAGCGCCGTGGGTCTGGGGCACAGTCTCGGTGCCCACCCACCCTGCCCCACACATCCAGTGCATCCCGGTCTGTGGGCACAGCGCCATGGGTCTGGGGGGCAGCCCAGGCACCCACCCTGCCCCACACATCCAGCACGTCCCAGTCTGTGGGCACAGCGCCATGGGTCTGGGGGGCAGCCCGGGCACCCACCCTGCACCACACGCCCAGTGCGTCCCGGTCTGTGGGCACAGCACTGTGGGTCTGGGGGCACAGCCTCGGTGCCCACCCACCCCACCCCGCCCGCCTCACCTTGTCGAAGCACACCAGGCGGATCTTCCCGCAGAGGTTGATGCGCGGGGGGCTGATGCAGAAGATCCCCTGCTTCTTCAGCCGGTTCTGCGCGTAGATGGTGCCCACGGTCACGGCGGCCGGCAGCGCCGGCGGCACGATGACGGTGACCAGGTCCAGGGCGCGGATGATGATTTGTCCCACGGGGACCTGGAAGAGGAGGAGGAGGAGGAGGAGGAAGAGGGGTGGGCACCCCCGCCCTGACAGATCCCAGCGCGCTCTCCCGCTCGCTCCACCAGCCCTACCTGGTTCCTCACCAGGATGAGGACGCTGTACAAGGTGCCGATGAGAGCTGTGCCGGGGGAGAAGGGGCTCGGTGACAAAGCAGGGAGCACTGGGGAGCCGGAATGGAATCCCATTCCAAGGAATCTGGCTGCTCCGGGATGCGCCGCCGGGCCCACACCTACCCAGCATGGCGAGGAACAGCACAAACTTGACGGCGTCCTTGTAGAACTTGAAGCTGACGGGTTTGGGGTAGAGGATGGAGCTGATGAGGTCCCCCTTGGCCGTGCAGAACCCTGCGGGACAGGCAGGAGCTCACCACGGCACCGCTCCCAGGGGCACGGATTCAAGCCAGGATTCATCACGGGATTGTCACCTGCCCTAGGCTGACTGTGTGATGCCTTTACCCCCAATCGTCTGCCCTGTTTATGTTGAATAATAAGTTCTACACCTTTAAGAATTGTTCCAGGAGTGAAGTGGGGGGGAAGAAACACGGACTTTATTTTCAAGAACTGCAGCCCCTCCTCCACATTCCTGCTCCTGGACTGTGTTGTCTGCAGATGGACAACTTTCCTTTGATTTTCTAGTTAGTTTTAGCTAGCTGAGGCAAAGAAGTTCCCTGCACTGTGTTTTTTTCCCTTTCTCTGGACCTGCTCTGGGCTGAACATCAGAAAAGCAGCAGCAGCTCCAGGCCTGGGCCGCAGCATTTCCAGCACCAGAGGGACTGATCAGAGACTGAGTGAGCCCAGCTGCAGCCCAGAGGGTTTTTCTGAGTTTGTTTCTCTCTTGGAGTGGCGAGAAGTTTTATTGTTTAATATTGTTTAAGTTTGCTTGTTTAATAAACAGGTTTTTTCCACTTTTCTCCAAAGAGGTATCCTTCCCGAACCGGTTGCAGGGAGGGGACAATTGAGTCTGCTTTCCTTTTGGGGGTTCTTTCCCCAAATTCTCCCTGAACCAGGACATCCCCCCAGCCCTCACCTGTGCGGGTGACCACGGCCAGCACCTCCCCGCCCACGTAGGCCTTGGCCTGGATGACCTGCGTCCCGCAGAACAGCGTGTGCCGCCGGTGCTCCTCGGGGCAGTACACGGCTCTCCCCGCCGGCAGCGGCGTCTTCATCACCGGCACGCTCTCCCCTGCCCAGAACACTCGCTGTCACCCCACGGGAGCCAGGCGCCAGCCAGCCGGGCTGGGAAGGTGACCCTGGCTGAATCCCGTGGGAATGTGGTGCCTGAGCATTTTATATTTTGTGTTTTTCACATCCTGCACCCCCTTAGTGCCCAGCTCTGAACCCCACTCTGGCTGAATCCCATGGGAATGTGATGCCCGAGCATTTTATATTTTGTGTTTTTCAGGTCCTGTGCTGCATTAGTGCCCAGCTCTGAACCCCACTCTGGCTGAATCCCGTGGGAATGTGATGCCTGAGCATTTTATATTTTGTGTTTTTCACATCCTGCACCCCCTTAGTGCCCAGCTCTGAACCCCACTGGCTGAATCCCATGGGAATGTGATGCCTGAGCATTTTATATTTTGTGTTTTAGATCCTGCACCACATTAGTGCCCAGCTCTGAACCCCACTGGCTGAATTCCATGGGAATGTGATGCCTGAGCATTTTATATTTTGTGTTTTAGATCCTGCACTGCCTCAGTGCCCAGCTCTGAGCTGGGAACTCAGAGACACCCCCAGCCTCAGCCACTGAGAAGTACAAACAAAATCACTCGTGGGGCAGCAAACTGGGGGTTAACAACTTCATCATCGGAGCATTAACCCCTGATAGATAAATGGGGTTAAAAATTTATAATTGCCTGAAAAACTTGTGCCCATCGTCCATTTTGGGTGCAACCTCAGAGGCTCCTGATGGAACAGCCACTTTTCTCCCTGAACCCTGCCTGGCCCTGCTCTGGGCAGCCCCGGGGCGGGCAGGGGTGGGCTCTCACCGGTCAGCAGGCTCTCGTTGACCATGCACTCCCCGCTCAGCAGCGCAGCGTCGCAGGGCAGCAGCGCCCCGGCCGCCGGCAGCCGGATGCAGTCCCCGGGCACCAGCTCCGCCGAGCTGACCAGCAGCTCCTCTGGAAAACAGCCCTGCTCAGGATTGGGGAACTCAGGGATTGGGGAATGGGGCACGAATCTCTGGAAAGCTGAAGGACCTGCTCAGGGATTGGGAATTGAGGCACTCATCTCTGCAAAGCTGGAGAATCACAGTCAGGGATTGGGGAATGGGACACGAATATCTGGAAACCTGCAGAACCTGCTCAGGGATTGGGGAATGGGGCACGAATCTCCTGACAGCTGGAGAACCTGCTCAGGGATTGGGGAATGGGGTATGAATCTCTGGAAACCTGGAGAACCTGCTCAGGGATTGGGGAATGGGGCACAAATCTCTGGAAACCTGCAGAACCCTGCTTAGGCTTGGGAATTGAGGCACTCATCTCCTGACACCTGGAGAATGTGCTCAGGGATTGGGGAATGGGGCACGAATCTCTGGAAACCTGGAGAACATTACTCTGGTGTCCCACAGAATTATTCCCATGAACAATACCATTATTCCCGGGATGCTGCGTCCCAACACCATTCCCAGCTATCCCAACGCTGCTTTGGTGCGGAACCAGCATCCCAAAGGAGACATCATCCCAAAACCATCCCAAAAATCCTCCCCCTCACCTCCCCCGGGCCGCCGGACCTGGACCTGCACGGACATCCTGGCCATGTTCCTCAGCGTGGTGCTTTGCTGGGAGGGAGGGAGGGAACGGTCAGAATCCACCCAAAACACCAGAAACTTTCCCCAAAAACGGCCCTGGGGGCTGGGAAGCAGGGAGAGGGGACAGGGGGAGGGCTGAGCCCACCCAGAGTGGGGCTGTGACCCCCAAGGAGCCGCCCCCACCCACCTTGCGTGTCTCGTAGAGGGACAGCCCCAGCGAGAGGGTGGAGATGAGGAAGATGCAGGCGGCGTAGTAGTAGTAGGCGTCACACACCCACAGCACCATGCTGAGCACTTGGAACAGGTAGAAGGGGTTGAGCACCTGCAACAAGGAGGAAAAAACAGGTTTGGGAGTGGGGGAAATTCTGGGAGAGCTCCTCGGGGTGGGAGAACCTCCTTCAGAACATCATGGCATTTCCAGGTTCCTTGGAGTGGGAGAAACTCCTCCATCCCATCATGGCATTTCCAGGTTCCTCAGGGTTGGAGAACCTCCCCCAGCCCAGTATGGGATTTTGAGGTTCCTCAAGGTGGGAGAACCTCCCCCAGCCCAGTATGGGATTTTGAGGTTCCTCAGGGTGGGAGAACCTCTTCCAGCCCATCATGGCATTTCCAGGTTCCTGGAAGTGGGGGGACCTTCCTCCATCCCAGTATGGGATTTCCAGGCTCCTGGAAGTGGGGAGAACCTCCTCCATCCCAGTATGGGATTTCCAGGTTCCTCGGAGTGGGAGAACCTCCTCCATCCCATCATGGCATTTCCAGGTTCCTCAGGGTTGGAGAACATTGTCCATCCCATCATGGCATTTCCAGGTTCCTGGAAGTGGGAAGAACCTCCCCCAGCCCAGTATGGGATTTTGAGGTTCCTCAGGGTGGGAGAACCTCTTCCAGACCATCATGGCATTTCCAGGTTCCCTGGAAGTGGGGAGAACTTCCTCCATCCCAGTATGAGATTTCCAGGTTCCCTGGGGATGGAGAACCTCCCCCAGCCCAGTATTGTATTTCCAGGTTCCTCGGAGTGGGAGAACCTCCTCCAGCCCATCACTGCATTTCCAGGTTCCCTGGAAGTGGGGAGAACCTCCTCCTGCCCAGTATGGAACCTCCAGGCTTCTGGAAGTGGGGAGAACCTCCTCCAGCCCATCATGGCATTTCCAGGTTCCTGGAAGTGGGAGAACCTCCCCCAGCCCAGTATTGGATTTCCAGGTTCCGCAGGGTTGGAGAACCTCCCCCAGCCCAGTATGGGATTTTGAGGTTCCTCAGGGTGGGAGAACCTCCTCCAGAACATCATGGCATTTCCAAGTTCCTCAAGGTGGGAGAAACTCCCCCAGCCCAGTATGGGACTTCCAGGCTACTTGGGGATGGAGAACCTCCCCCAGCCCATCATGGGATTTCCAGGTTCCTGGAAGTGGGGAGAACCTCTTCCATCCCAGTATGGGATTTCCAGGCTCCTGGAAGTGGGGAGACCTTCCCCCAGCCCAGTATGGGATTTCCAGGCTCCTTGGGGTGGGAAAAGCTTCTCCCAGCCCAGTATGGGATTTCCAGGTGGGAGGAATTTCTCCAGGCTCATGGCAGGAGGAAAAGCTTCCCCCAGCCCATGGTGAGCCCTCCAGGCTCCCGGATCCAGAGGAGAACCCGGCCCTTCCCTGGGGCTGACAGCCCTCAAACCCCCAAAACCCCCCAGAATTCCCTATGGGGGCTGACAGCCCTCAAACCCCCCAAACCCCCCAGAATTCCCTATGGATGCTGCTCCTGAGGACTCTCAGCCACCTCCACAGCCCCAGGGGCTGCTCCTGTCCAAGCCCAGGGGGCAGGAAGGGTCCCCTTCATGGCTCTGCCTTTTCCCAAGGGTCAGGAAGCGCTTCCAGGAGCAGGGGAGGGATCTGTCCCGAAAAAATCCGCTTGGGAAGCCCAGCTGGAACCCACCTCCTCCACCAGGAGCCTGGCGTAGGACTTGACGGGCACCTCGATGAGATTGGGGCCGTAGATCTTCCTCCTGCAAGGGGGGAAGGACAGCGAGGGAATTTTATCCTTGGGGAAGGAGTTTGATCCTTGGGAAAGGAGAATTTTGTCCTTGGGAAAAAGAGAGGGGAAGAATTTTATCCTTGGGAAAAGAGGGAAGGGGTTTTATCCTTGGGAAAGGAGAATTTTATCCTTGGGAAAAGAGAGGGAAGGAGTTTTATCCTTGGGAATGGGAAGGAATTTTAACCTTGGGAAAAGAGAGGGAAGGAGTTTCATCCTTGGAAAAAGAGGGAAGGGGGTTTATCCTTGGGGAAAAGAAGGAATTTTATCCTTGGGGATAGAGGGAAGGGGGTTTATCCTTGGGGAAAGGAAGGAATTTTATCCTTGGGAATAGAGGGAAGGAGTTTCATCCTTGGGAAAAGAGGGTAAGAGTTTGGGGTCTGAGGCTCTGGGATTTCCCAGTCCAGTTTGGGGTCTGAGGTTCTGGGATTTCCCTGCCCAGTTTGGGGTCTGAGGCTCTGGGATTTCCCTGGAAAAGCCCTATCCAGTTTGGGGTCTGAGGCTCTGGGATTCCCTGTCCAGTTTGGGGTCTGAGGCTCTGGGATTTCCCTGCAGGTTTGGGGTCTGAGGCTCTGGGATTTCCCTGTCCAGTTTGGGGTCTGAGGCTCTGGGATTTCCCTGTCCAGTTTGGGGTCTGAGGCTCTGGGATTCCCTGTCCAGTTTGAGGTCTGAGGCTCTGGGATTTCCCTGGAAAAGCCCTATCCAGTTTGGGGTCTGAGGCTCTGGGATTTCCCTGTCCAGTTTGGGGTCTGAGGCTCTGGAATTTCCTTGTCCAGTTTGGGGTCTGAGGCTCTGGGATTCCCTGTCCAGTTTGGGGTCTGAGGCTCTGGGATTTCCCTGCAGGTTTGGGGTCTGAGGCTCTGGGATTTCCCTGTCCAGTTTGGGGTCTGAGGCTCAGGGATTTCCCTGTCCAGTTTGGGGTCTGAGGCTCTGGGATTTCCCAGTCCAGTCTGGGGTCTGAGGCTCTGGGATTTCCCTGCAGGTTTGGGGTCTGAGGCTCTGGGATTTTCCTGCCCAGTTTGGGGTCTGAGGCTCTGGGATTTCCCTGTCCAGTTTGGGGTCTGAGGCTCTGGAATTTCCCAGTCCAGTTTGGGGTCTGAGGCTCTGGGATTCCCTGTCCAGTTTGGGGTCTGAGGCTCTGGGATTCCCTGGAAAAGCCCTGTCCAGTTTGGGGTCTGAGGCTCTGGGATTTCCCTGTCCAGTTTGGGATCTGAGGCTCTGGGATTTCCCTGCAGGTTTGGGGTCTGAGCTCTGGGATTTCCCTGCAGGTTTGGGGTCTGAGGCTCTGGGTTTCCCTGTCCACTTTGGGGTCTGAGGCTCTGGGATTTCCCTGCAGGTTTGGGGTCTGAGGCTCTGGGATTCCCTGGAAAAGCCCTGTCCAGTTTGGGGTCTGAGGCTCTGAGATTCCCTGTCCAGTTTGGGGTCTGAGGCTCTGGGATTCCCAGTCCAGTTTGGGGTCTGAGGCTCTGGGATTTCCCTGCAGGTTTGGGGTCTGAGCTCTGGGAATTCCCTGCAGTTTTGGGGTCTGAGGCTCTGGGATTCCCTGGAAATCCCTGTTGGTGCCATCCCCACCTGGTGCCGTGCTCCTGCTGCTGCAGCCCGGCCCGGCTCAGGTGCAGCTCTGCGCAGGTCCAGCCCTCGTCCAGCACGCTGGGGAGGAAAGGAAAACAGGGAGAGAGTCAGAGCCAGCGGGAAGGGCGGAAAAAACAGCCCAGCCAATGCTCGGGACAAACTCAGCCCTTTGGAAAGGAGAGTGCCCTGTTCCCTGCTCCTTCCTTGGCCTCTCTGCAGCCCACGGCTGCCAAGGGAAGGCAACAAAAGGGGCACAGAGAGAGAGAGAGACGGGAGTGCCCAGCACTGCCAAACTGCCCCAGCCCGCTCCCGGGCACGGGACTAAAATATATACACATATATGTGTGTGTGTGTGTCAGAATCCGTGGTATTGATGATTCCCAGATTGTAAAAAGTCTCTGTCTTTTTGCTCTGTTGCCAAAGCAGAAGCCATAATTTGTCTGTGCTGTTTCAAGGTTGTTTATTCTGTTTATCTCTACCATGTTCTGCTGCCCTGCCGCAGCTCTGTCCTGCAGGGCAGCGTGTGGGGCTCTGCCCTCAGTGGGATGGTACAAACATTAAATACCACAAACTACCTGTGCTGGATTTACAATAACGTGCCAATATCTGTCACCTACGTTGGACAGTGTGTCCCCAGCCTGAACCAACAGAAAAATGCCAACACCACAGTGAAACATGGAGGGCATGAAGAAGGAGAAAAAGGACAAGGCACACCCAATTTCCTCCATCTTGTCCCCTTTGGACCCCGGGAGGATCCAGGAGGATCCAGCAGGAATGGTGGGCTCTGGGAGGATCCAGGAGGATCCAGGAGGAGGATCCAGGAGGAGGATCCAGGAGGAGGATCCAGGAGGAGGATCCAGGAGGAGCAGGGATGGTGGGCTCTGGGAGGATCCAGGAAGAGGATCCAGGAGGATCCAGGAGGATCCAGGAGGAGGATCCAAGAGGAGGATCCAGGAGGATCCAGCAGGAATGGTGGGCTCTGGGAGGATCCAGGAGAAGGATCCAGGAGGAGGATCCAAGAGGATCCAGGAGGAGCAGGAATGGTGGGCTCTGGGAGGATCCAGGAGGATCCAGGAGGAGGATCCAGGAGGAGGATCCAGGAGGAATGGTGGGCTCTGGGAGGATCCAGGAGGATCCAGGAGGATCCAGGAGGAGGATCCAGGAGGAATGGCGGGCTCTGGGAGGATCCAAGAGGATCCAGAAGGAGGATCCAGGAGGATCCAGGAGGATCCAGGAGGAGGATCCAGGAGGAGCAGGGATGGTGGGCTCTGGGAGGATCCAGGAGGATCCAGGAGGAGCAGGGTGGTGGCTCCAGGAGTACCTGACCCTGCAGAAGGCCTGCCGCCGCTCCAGCCACACGTAGCGCATTCCCTGGAACAGGTAATACCTCAGGAGGTTCTTCTGCCGGACAGGGAGGGGACAGAAAGGCGTGAGCGCGGTGTCCAGGGACAGGGACAGGGGCTGGGGACGGGGAAGGTCCCGGTGCCACCTCGTCCTTGTCGTGCAGCCGCACGGTGTCACGGCTCTCCTCCTCATCTGCCACCGCCACCGCCACCGTCACACTGCCACTGCCGCGCTCGGGCTGCGCCCCGGGGTGCTGCTCCAGGCTGCCAAGGGAACCGGCTCAGACACGGCCTGTCACCCCCCCTTGGGGACATTGGGGCTCAGCTACCTTCCCTTGGGGACACCTGGGCTCAGCCACCCCCCCTTGGGGACATTGGGGCTCAGACACGGCCTGTCACCCTCCCTTGGGGACATTGGGGGTCAGCCACCCCACCTTGGGGACACTGGGGATCAGTCACCCTCCCTCGGGGACATTGGGGCTCAGCCATGGCCTGTCACCCTCCCTTGGGGACATTGGGGATCAGTCACCCTCCCTTGGGGACACTGAGGGTCAGCCATGGCCTGTCACCCTCCCTTGGGGACACCTGGGCTCAGCCACCCCCCCTTGGGGACATTGGGGGTCAGACATGGCCTGTCACCCCCCCTTGGGGACACTGGGGCTCAGCCACCCTCCCTTGGGGACATTGGGGCTCAGCCACCCTCCCTTGGGGACACCCGTGCCCAGCTTGGGGACACCGTGCCAGGCCCGGCTCACCCCGCCTCGCCCAGCGGCTCCGTCAGCACCCGGGTGGTGAAGCACTGCCCGAAACGGTCCTGGAACACGGAATGGCACGGCAGGGACACGGAATGGCATGGAAGGGACATGGGAATGGCACGTCAGGGACACGGGAATGGCACGGCAGGGACATGGGAATGACACGGAAGGGACATGGGAATGGCATGGAAGGGACCCACAGAACCCCACCCCAGACCCACAGCGCCCCACCCCAGACCCACAGAGCCCCACCCCAGACCCACAGAACCCCACCCCAGACCCACAGAGCCCCGCCCCAGACCCACAGAGCCCCACCCCAGACCCACAGCACCCCACTCCAGACCCACAGAGCCCCACCCCAGACCCACAGAATCCCATCCCACACTCCCAGTACCCCATCCCAGACCCACAGAGCCCCACCCCAGACCCACAGAACCCCACCCCAGACCCACAGAGCCCCACCCCAGACCCACAGAGCCCCACCCCAGACCCACAGAGCCCCACCCCAGACCCACAGCGCCCCCCAGCCCGGGTCCCCAGGCCTCACCCTGATGATGAGCCAGTCGGCCTGGCCCAGGGCGCAGGGCCGGCACTTGGCCTGCACCTCCAGGTTGGGTTTCCAGTGGAAGAGCAGCAGGAGCAGCCCCGCGCTCAGCACGGAGCCCGCGTGGCACAGCAGCACCCGCCAGGGCCGCCGCTGGTACCCCCACACCTCCTGCGGAGCGGGGAGCCGGCACCGGGAATTATACCGGGAATTACACCGGGAATTACACTGGGAACCACTGGGAATTACTGGGAATTACACTGGGAACCACCGGGAACCACTTGGAGTCATCGGGAATTACACTGGGACCACTGGGAATCAATCAATGGGAATCACTGGGAATCAATCACTGGGAATAATTTGCAATCAATCACTGGGAATCACTGGGAATGACACTGGGAACCACTGGGAATCACTGGGAATTACACTGGGAATCACTGGGAATCACTGGGAATTACACTGGGAACCACTGGGAATTACACTGGGAACCACTGGGAATCAATCACTGGGAATCACCAGGAATCACTGGGAATCAGTCACTGGGAATCACTGGGAATCAATCAATGGGAACCAGTCACTGGGAATCAATCATTGGGAATCACTGGGAATCAATCACTGGAATCACTGGGAATCAATCATTGGGAATCACTGGGAATCAATCACTGGGAATCAATAATTGGTAATCACTGTGAATCAATCACTGGGAATCAATCCCTGGAATCCCTGGGAATCAATCCCTGGAATCACTGCTAATCAATCCCTGGGAATCAATCAATGGGAATCACTGGGAATCAATCAGTGGGAATCAATCAGTGGGAATCAATCCCTGGAATCAGTGGGAATCAATCACTGGGAATCAATCTCTGAAATCACTGGGAATCAGTCATTGGGAATCAATCCCTGGAATCACTGGGAATCAATCAGTGGGAATCAATCCCTGGAATCCCTGGGAATCAATCCCTGGAATCCCTGGGAATCAATCCCTGGAATCACTGGGAATCAATCACCAGGAATCAATCCCTGGAATCACTGGGAATCAATCCCCAGGAATCAATCCCTGGAATCAGTGGGAATCAATCAGTGGGAATCAATCACTGGGAATCAATCAGTGGGAATCACTGGAAATCAGTCACTGGGAATCAATCAGTGGGAATCAATCCCTGGGAATCAATCCCTGGAATCCCTGGGAATCAATCCCTGGGAATCAATCCCTGGGAATCAATCCCTGGGAATCAATTCTGGGAATCAGCCACCCCCACGCGGCCGCTCAGCCGCAACACCCACTAAATTCCACCACCACCCACTAAACCCCGACCCCCCAAAACCCCGGCGTGACCCAACCCCGGGCAGGGAGACCCTGGGGGCTGGAAAAGCAGCAGCTGGAGGAGCGGGGAGCACCGGGATGGATGTGGGGCACCCCGAGTCTGCACCTACCATGTGGGGCACCCCCAGTTGGCACCTACCATGTGGGGCACCCCCAGTTTGCACCTACCATGTGGGGCACGTCCGAGTCCCGCTGCAGCGTCCCGTAGCCCGGGCACGGGGCCCCCAGCAGCCAGCTGCTGTCTGCAAATCCAGCAGAAACACGGAGCAGGGTCAGCCCAGGGGTGGTTGGGGCCATCCCGCCGGGATCGCTGCCCCCTCATCCCCCCCGGCATGTGACGGTCACGGGGACCCGCCGGAGCGGCCCCCGGAATTGTGGCTGGCGTTGTCCCCAAGCTCAGCGGGCACGGGAAGGCAGCCCTGACACTTTTCCAGCTTGTTCGTTCCTTGTTTTCTCCCTGGGTTTGCTCCTGGCCGCGGAAAAATTGGCATTTCCCAGTTTTAATCATGCTCCAATTCACGTCGGGATCCGCTGTGCCCCAAAGCGCAGCCTTGGGAATTGGGATCAGGGATCATCCCTGGGATCTCCCCAGGTGGGATCTCAACCATCATCCTCCGTGCCTGAAGCTGAATTTGCTCAATCCCCAAATCCAGGATGGATCACGAGTCACTGAACCTGCTCATTCCCCAAATCCAGGATGGATCACGAGTCACTGAGCCTGCTCATTCCCCAAATCCAGGATGGATAACCTGAGCCTGCTCATTCCCTAAATCCAGGATGGAATTCCTGAGCCTGCTCATTCCCCAAATCCAGGATGGATAACCTGAGCCTGCTCATTCCCTAAATCCAGGATGGATTACCTGAACCTGCTCATTCCCTAAATCCAGGATGGATCACGAGTAACTGAACCTGCTCATTTCCTAAATCCAGGATGGAATTCCTGAACCTGCTCATTCCCTAAATCCAGGATGGATTACCTGAGCCTGCTCATTCCCTAAATCCAGGATGGATCACAAGTCACTGAGCCTGCTCATTCCCCAAATCCAGGATGGATTACCTGAGCCTGCTCATTCCCCAAATCCAGGATGGATTATGAGTCCCTGAGCCTGCTCATTCCCCAAATCCAGGATGGATTACCTGAACCTGCTCATTCCCAAATCCAGGATGGATTACGAGTCCCTGAGCCTGCTCATTCCCTAAATCCAGGATGGATTACCTAAACCTGCTCATTCCCTAAATCCAGGATGGATTATGAGTCACTGAACCTGCTCATTCCCTAAATCCAGGATGGATCACCTGAGCCTGCTCATTCCCTAAATCCAGGATGGATTACCTGAGCCTGCTCATTCCCCAAATCCAGGATGGATTACCTGAGCCTGCTCATTCCCTAAATCCAGGATGGATCACCTGAGCCTGCTCATTCCCCAAATCCAGGATGGATCACGAGTCACTGAGTTTGCTCATTCCCTAAATCCAGGATGGATCACGAGTCACTGAGCCTGCTCATTCCCTAAATCCAGGATGGAATTCCTGAACCTGTTCATTCCCCAAATCCAGGATGGAATTCCTGAGCCTGCTCATTCCCCAAATCCAGGATGGAATTCCTGAACCTGCTCATTCCCCAAATCCAGGATGGAATTCCTGAACCTGCTCATTCCCCAAATCCAGGATGGATCACGAGTCCCTGAACCTGCTCGTTCCCCAAATCCAGGATGGATCACGACCACGGCATTCCCAAGGCTGGGATGTCCCAGCAGCAGCGGGAGGTGACACGTGGCACCAGCACAGAGCCGGGAGCTGTTCCCACTCCTGGAACACGTGGATATTTCCTGCCTGGGCCAGGCCTGGGTTTCCAGGAGGGCACCAAGACCAGCTCAAGGATTTAGACTGGAAAAACCGCCCTGGCTGGATTCCTGCTGCTCCCTGTCCTCCGCAGGGGACAGAAGCTGTTCATTAAAACCATTCCCTGGTTTTGGTGATCCTGGTGTGGTGTTGCTCCACGGGATAAATTTGGAGGGGGGGAACTGGGGGATGAGCCTGAGGGACGGTTCAGTAAAACAAAAGCTGTCCCAGAAACCAAGAAAAGGAAAGGAGGAGTCAGCTGTGCCCAGCACCAGCCTCCAACGCTGCAAAAATTGGGAATTCCAGCTCCGGGAGCGCTGCCCTTCCCAAGGGCAGGACAAAGCACAGGGCAGGGGGCACAAGGGCTTTTCCCGGGATCTGCAGGAGCAGGGAAAAGTATCCAAACATCCCGGAGCCTCTGGGCAGTGGGAAGCCCGGCCCACCCCTCTCCTTATGGAACTATCCTGGATTTTCTTGATCCTAAAGCAACAAATCCTCGGGGGGAACCGAGCGGCTCCGCACAGCCCCATCCTCGTGGGATTCCAGCCCCGTTCCGGTGGGATTTCAGCCCCGTTCCCATGGGATTCCAGCCCCGTTCCGGGGGGATTCCCAAAGCTCGGCAGGTGAGGAAAGCCCCGGCACAGACTCACCCCACAGCATCTGCTCCTGGTGGGGTGGGATGGCCGGGATGGGGTTGGAAAGGTGGGATCGGCCGGGATGGGGTCGGGATAGGTGGGATTGGCCGGGATGGGGTTGGAAAGGTGGGATCGGCTGGGATGGGGTTGGGAAAGGTGGGATTGGTCGGGATGGGGTCGGAAAGGTGGGATCGGTGAGGATGGGGTTGGGAAAGGTGGGATCGGTCGGGATGGGATCAGCCAGGATGGGATCAATCGGGATGGGATCGGTCGGGATGGGGTCCATTGGGATGGGGTTCGTTGGGATAGGATCCGTCGGGATGGGATCCGTCGGGATGGGATCGGTCGGATGGGGTCGGTCAGGCTGGGACCGGCTGGGCTGGGATCAGCCGGGATGGGATCAGTCAGGATGGGGTCAGGAAAGGTGGGATTGGTCAGGCTGGGATCGGTCAGGATGGGGTTGGTCGGGATGGGATCAGTCGTGATGGGGTCCGTCGGGATAGGATCCGCCGGGATGGGACCGGCAGCGCCGCCATCCCCGCCGCCCCCGCGGCCGCAGCCGTGTCCGGGCGGATCCGCAGCGGAGCGGCCGCACCGCGTCCCAGCCCCGAGGCCACTCCTCGTCGGCAAACACGGCGCGGGGGCTCCTGGATCTCCTTCCCCGCCCCCGATCCCGGGAATTCCCCGAGCCCTGCACAGAGCTCTGCTCCCTGCTTCCCTCTCCGCCACCAACACCGGGATTAGCAGCAGGATAAGGAAATTTGGGAAGAGGCTGCTCTGGATGCTCCCACAGCCACTGCACATCCCGGCGGGGGGGGAACCCTCGGATCTGGAGCACAGAGCCAGAAGGGATCCAAGATTTGGATCGGGATCCAACACCTGGCTGGGGGTCAGCTGGGAGTGACGGGTGCTTGGACAGTCCTTGGGCAGCACCATCCGTCTGTCCATCCATCCACGGATCCATGTCTTCATCCATCCCTTTATCCATCCATCATCCATCCATCATCCATCCATCCATCCATCATCCATCATCCATCCATCCATCCATCCATCATCCATCCATCCATCCATCCATCCATCATCCATCCATCCATCCATCCATCATCCATCCATCCATCCATCATCCATCATCCATCCATCCATCATCCATCATCCATCCATCCATCCATCCATCCATCATCCATCCATCCATCCATCCATCCATCCATCATCCATCCATCATCCATCATCCATCCATCATCCATCCATCATCCATCCATCCATCCATCCATCCATCATCCATCCATCCATCATCCATCATCCATCATCCATCCATCATCCATCCATCCATCATCCATCCATCCATCCATCCATCCATCCATCATCCATCCATCATCCATCCATCCATCATCCATCCATCCATCCATCATCCATCCATCCATCCATCATCCATCCATCCATCATCCATCCATCATCCATCCATCCATGGATCCCACACGGATCCCAGTGGGACAGGGACACTCTGCCCTTCCTTCATCCATGAAAAACCCCGGGACCGCTCCGGGATGGGATCTGAGGGGTGACGGGTCCTTCCCAACCCCAAACCCGACCCCATTCCCCACCATCCCCATGGGAGAGGGACGGAGCGTTCCCAAATTCTGGGTGGGATCCACCCGTGGAAGCAGCTCTGGGGGGTCAGGGGGATCCGGCTGTGGGGTTTGGGGGTTCTGGAGAATTTGGGGTTTGGAGAGTTTGGGGTTTGGGGGGTTTGGGGAGTTTGGGGGGTTTGGGGTTTTGGGGATTGGGGAAGTTTGGGGTTTTGGGGGGTTTGGAAAGTTTGGGGACTGGGGAGTTTGGGGCTTGGAGAATTTGGGGTTTGGAGAGTTTGGGGTTTGGGGGGTTTGGGGTTTGGAGAGTTTGGGGTTTGGGGGGTTTGAGGTTTGGAGAGTTTGGGATTTGGGGGGTTTGGAAAGTTTGGGGTTTGGAGAGTTTGGGCCTTGGAGAATTTGGGGTTTGGAGAGTTTGGGGTTTGGAGGGTTTGGGGAGTGTGGGGTTTGGAGTTTGGGGGGTTTGGGGGAGTTTGGGGGGTTTGGAAAGTTTGGGGTTTAGGGGGGTTTGGAAAGTTTGGGGTTTGGAGAGTTTGGCATTTGGAGGGTTTGGGGTTTCGGGGGTTTGGGGTTTGGAGGGTTTGGAGAGTTCGGGATTTGGGGGGTTTGGAAAGTTTGGGGTTTGGAGAGTTTGGGGTTTGGAGAGTTTGGGGTTTGGAGGGTTTGGGGTTTGGAGGGTTTGGAAAGTTTGGGCTTTGGAGAGTTTGGGGTTTGGGGGGTTTGGGGTCTCAAGACTTTGGGGCTTGGAGGATTGGGAAAGTTTGGGGGGTTTGGAGAGTTTGGGGATTGGGGAGTTTGGGGCTTGGAGAATTTAGGGTTTGGGGGATTGGGAGAGTTTGGGGTTTGGGGTTTAGAGAGTTTGGGGATAGGAGAATTTGGGGTTTTGGGGATTGGAAGAGTTTGGGGTTTTGGGAGGTTTGTGAGAGTTTAGGGTTCGGAGAATTTGGGGCTTGGGGAATTGGGAGAATTTGGGGGGTTTGGGGCTTGGAGAGTTTGGGGAATTGGGAGAGTTTGGGGTTTGGACAGTTTGGGGTTTGGATAGTTTGGGGTTTAGAGAGTTTGGGGTTTGGGGGATTGGGAGGGTTTGGGGGGTTAGACGGGTTTGCAGGTTTTGGGGGATTTGGGAGGGATTGGGGTTTGGGGGGTTGGATGGGTCTGAGAGTTTTGGGGTTTGGACAGTTTGGGGGTTTATGGAGTTTGGAGGCTTTGGGGTTTAGGGGATTTGGGGGATTTGGACAGTTTGGAGTTGGAGGGGTTTGCAGGTTTTGGGGGAAATTGGGAAAGCAAACGGGATAAAAAGGGGAAATGAGGCAAAGTTAAAAAAGGGAAATGAAGTGGAATATAAAGGGAAGTGGAGCAAAATAAAAAAGGGAAGTGGAGCCCAATAAAGCGACATAGAGGAGAAACGGAACAAAATAAAAAAGCAAAATGATGTGAAATAAAAGAGAAACGGAACATTAAAAGTGAAATAAAGCAAAAAAGATAAAGCAAAATGAATTGGGGTAAAAAAAAGGAGAAAAATGAAAATAAATCAAAATAAAGGAAAAAAATAAAGAGGAATGAAGTGAAAAAACTAACAAAGCAAAGGAAAAAAGCAAAACAAAGCACAATTAAAAAGCAGAAAAAACAAAGTTAAGAGACGAAACTGCAACAAAATAACGATGCCAAATGTAAAATGAAGAAGTGAAAGTAAAAAACCAAGCCACAAAAGAAAGCAAAATAAGGAAGCAAAAAAGCAAAATAAGATTAAATGAAGTCAAATAAAGCGGAATAATAAAGTAAATTAAAGTAAAATAACAAAGCAAATCGTAAATGCAACATTTTAAAAAATGGCAAGAGAATAAAGCAAAATTAAAAAAAATAAAGCATAATAAGGCACATTTAAAAAGCAAAATTTTAGAAGGCAAAATAATACAGAGAAATCGATGGGAATGAATGGGAATGAATGGGGATAAAGGGGAATAAATGGGAATACATGGGGATAAATGGGAATAAATGGGGATAAACGGGAATAAATGGGGATAAACGGGAATAAACGGGGATAAACGGGAATAAATGGGAATACATGGAGATAAACGGGAATAAATGGGGAAAAACGGGAATAAATGGGAATAAATGGGAATAAACGGGAATAAATGGGGATACATGGGGATAGAGGGGAATAAATGGGGATAAACGGGAATAAATGGGGATACATGGGGATAAACGGGAATAAATGGAATAAATGGGACCGGAGCCGCACCGGTCCCGCCCCCCCGCGCTGGGCTGGAGCGGCCCCGGCAGCCCCCGGCGGCGCTTTTGGGCTCCGAGGGGCTCCGGGCGTTCAGCGGATCCCGGTCCCTGATCCCGACCCTGATCCCATTCCCGATCCCGATCCCATTCCCGATCCCGATCCCATTCCCGATCCCATTCCCGGTGCCGGTTCCTGACCTGAGCTCATGGCGCGGCCCCGCGGCCCCCGCGCCGCCGGAAGAGGCGGGCCCGGAACCCCGGGGCATGCTGGGAGTTGGAGTCCGCACCGCGACACCGGGCCCGGAACCCCGGGGCATGCTGGGAGTTGGAGTCCGCACCGCGACACCGGGCCCGGAACCCCGGGGCATGCTGGGAGTTGGAGTCCGCACCCCCAAACCGGGCCCGGAACCCCGGGGGATGCCGGGAGTTGGAGTCCGCACCCCAAAACAGGGCCCAGAACCCCGGGGGATGCTGGGAGTTGGAATCTGCACCCCAAAATCAGGGTGGGACACCCCAAAATTGGGTGTGACACCCCAAAATGACGGCATGGCACCCCGGGGGATGCTGGGAGTTGGAGTCCGCACCCCAAAATTGGGTGTGACGCCCCAAAATTGGGTGTGACACCCCAAAATTGGGTGTGACACCCCAAAATCAGGGTGTGACACCTAAAAATTGGGTGTGACACCCCAAAATCAGGGTGGGACATCCCAAAATCAGTGTGTGACACCCCAAAATCGGGTGTAACACCCCAAAATTGGGTGTGGCACCCCAAAATCAGGGTGGGACACCCCAAAATCAGGGTGTGACACCCCAAAATTGGGTGTGGCACCCCGGGAGTGGCATCCCTGTGACCCCATTTCTGGGGGGTTTGAATTATTCCGGCCAAAATCGGGAATTCAGCAGCAAAGCCGGAGCGGCTCCAAACCGGGTAAAAAATACTGGGAAAAAAAGGAAAATTCACCCTTAAAAAATCCCATTTTCCTGGGATTTGGAATAAAAGCAGGATCCCACGGGGTCAGAGAGGAGACCTCGTTCCTGGTGGATCTGGAGGTAAAAAATTCACTTTTTTTTGGGGGAAAAGAGGAAGAGCCACCCCTAAAAACCCCAATTTTCTCAGGATTTGGAGTAGAAATCAGGAATAGAAACCAGGATCCCATGGGGTGGGAGAGAATACCTCGTTCCTGGTGGATCTGGAGGAAAAAAATTCACTTTTTTGGGGGAAAAGAGGAGAAGGAGAGGACACCTCACTCCTGGTGCATCTGGAGGTATAAAAATTCACTTTTTTTGGGGGAAAATAGGAAGAGACACCTCTAAAAACCCCAATTTTCTCAGGATTTGGAGTAGAAATCAGGAATAGAAACCAGGAACCTCCCAGCCCTGAGAGCTCTGGGATGGCAAAACTCCTCATGAAAAGGGATTTAATAAATAAATGAGAAATAAATGAAGAATAAAAGATGGAGCCTGAGCTGTTCTTTACAGCCTTTATTGCAGGGGAATGCCCTGAGGAGCCGAGAGGGTCACTCGGGGTCACTCAGGGTCACTCTGGGTCACTCCAGGGTCACTCTGGGTCACTCCAGGGTCACTCTGGGTCACTCTGGGTCACTCCAGAGTCACTCTGGGTCACTCTGGGTCATCCCAGGGTCACTCTGTGTCACTCTGTGTCACTCTGGGTCACTCCAGGGTCACTCCAGGGTCACTCCAGGGTCACTCTGGGTCACTCCAGGGTCACTCTGGGTCACTCCAGGTCACTCTGGGTCACCTCAGGGTCACTCAGGGTCACTCAGCCCTCAGGCAGTCGCTGCTTTCTGCTTGTAGGTCGCCATCATCTTCTTGATCTCGGCGATGGCTTTGCCGGGGTTCAGCCCCTGTGGGAGAGGTTGGTCAGAGTCTGGGGGGGCAGAGCTCCTCTCTCCTCTCCTTCCTCCCCTTCCCCTTCCCCTTCCCTCCCTCTCCATCCCTTCCCTCCCTCTCCATCCCTTCCCTCCCTCCTCCTCGTCCCAGCTGTAATAAACTCCCAAATCTGCTGCTATTCCACCTTTTCCTCCTTAAAAATGGGAATTCAGCTGATATTCTCCTTCCTTTCACACCCAGGGAGGTCACAGGATGTGTCACAGCTGTAATAAATGGTAAATCTGCTGCTATTCCACATTTTCCTCCTAAAACCTGGAATTCAGCTGATATTCTCCTTCCTTCCAAACCCAGGGAGGTCACAGGATGGGTCACAGCTGTAACAAACTCCCAAATCTGCTGCTATTCCACCTTTTTCCTCCTAAAATTTGGAATTCAGCTGATATTCTCCTTCCTTTCACATCCAGGGAGGTCACAGCTGTAATAAACTCCCAAATCTGCTGCTATTCCACCTTTTTCCTCCTGAAATTTGGAATTCAGTTGATATTCTCCCCCCTTTCAAACCCTGGGAGGTCACAGCTGTAATAAACTCCCAAATTTGCTGCTACCCCACTTTTTTATCCCCTAAAAGCTGGAATTTGGCTGATATTTTCCTTCCTTTCTGTGCTGGCAGACTGCAGGACAGACTGAACTTGGAGCAAACTCACAAATGTGCTGCTATTGATAAAAATGTTCATTAGAGGAGCTGCTCAACATCTCTTTTTTCCCTAAAAATCCGAGTCCAGCCTGGCATGAACCTTCCTTTCCAGCCTGGGGAGCCAGCCCTGACTCAGCCAGGCTGGGAATTCCAGAGGGTCCAGCCTTATTTTGGGATCAGATTGGGAATTCCAGAGGCTCCAGGTGCAGCTCTGCCCCATTCCCAGTCTCACTTTGGGGTCAGAATGGGAATTCCAGGGGCTCCAGCCTCATTTTGGGGGCAGACTGGGAATTCCAGAGGCTCCAGCCTCACTTTGGTGTCAGAATGGGAATTCCAGAGGCTCCAGCCTCACTTTGGGGTCAGAATGGGAATTCCAGAGGGTCCAGCCTCACTTTGGGGTCAGAATGGGAATTCCAGAGGCTCCAGCCTCGCTTTGGGGGCAGAATGGGAATTCCAGAGGCTCCAGCCTCACTTTGGGGGCAGACTGGGAATTCCAGAGGGTCCAGCCTTATTTTGGGATCAGATTGGGAATTCCAGGGGCTCCAGCCTCACTTTGGGGGCAGAATGGGAATTCCAGAGGGTCCAGCCTCACTTTGGGGGCAGAATGGGAATTCCAGAGGCTCCAGGTGCAGCTCTGCCCCATTCCCAGTCTCACTTTGGGGTCAGATTGGGAATTCCAGAGGCTCCAGCCTCATTTTGGGGTCGGAATGGGAATTCCAGGGGCTCCAGGTGCAGCTCTGCCCCCTCCCAGCCTCAGTTTCCCCGGGAAGAGCAGCCCAGCCCGGAGCAGGACGCGGAGCTGGAGTTCCCCTCCTGCCCCTGGAGCCAAACTCTCCCTTTGGGATCTGGGCTTTGATGGGGATCAAAGGGAGATCCAGGACACAATTCCAGGTTTTTCTGGCTGTCTGGATCTCCAGCCTGGCTCCGGGGCTGTGGGGTTTTCCTGCTCTGGGATGGTGGGAGCTGTGGGAAATCTCCACAGGAAAAGCTCAGGAATTCCCTGGAGCTCTCCTGGCAGGGCCCTGCTCCCAAATCCTGCGGTCAGAGGAGGAAAAGCTGATCCCAGCTCCAGGTGTCCCCAGTTTGGGGAAACTGAGGCCTAAAAGGATCTTTTCCTGTGGAAACCACCAGGAATTCCAGAAAAGACACGGAACAGGGATGGGGAGGAGGAGGGATGGGGACAGGCAGTGACAGCACGAGGGGACATGGCTGGAACTGACAGAGGGGAGGTTTGGGGGGATTTTGGGGTAAATCCCTCCCTGTGAGCGTGGATGGAATTCCCAGAGAAACTGTGGCTGTCCTAAGGCCAGCATGGATGGGGTTGGAGCACCCTGGGACACGGGAGGGTGGCCCTGCCATGGGATGAGATGGGACTTTGGGGTCCCTTCCAATCCCAACCACTCCGGGATTCCAGGTGCTGGTGTGGGTGGGAAATTGGGGTGAATTCCTCCCTGTGAGGGATGGAATTCCCAGAGAGGCCATGTCCTGCTGCCATGGAACAGGGCTGGCACTGCCACCGTGACCGGGCTGCTCCCTCCATGGCAGCCTGTGCCCTGTGACCCCCATGTCATGTCCCCCCGTGTCCCCCATGTCCCTCTGTGTCCCATGTCCCCCATGTCCCCCCGTGCCCCATGTCCTCCATGTCCCCCTGTGTCCCCCCATGCCCCATGTCCCCCCATGCCCCATGTCCCCCCATGTCCCCCATATGTCCCATGTTCCCCATGTCCCCCATGTCCTCCGTGTCCCCCATGCCCCATGTCCCCCCATGTCCCCCCATGTCCCTCTGTGCCCCATGTCCCCCTGTGCTCCATGTCCCCCCATGTCCCCCTGTGTCCCATGTCCCCCATGTCCCCCATATGTCCCATGTCCCCCATGTCCCCCCATTCCCCGTGTCCCCCATGTCCCCCCGTGCCCCATGTCCCCTGACGTCCCCCATGCCCCATGGCCCCCCATGTCCCATGTCCCCCTGTGTCCCCCCATGTCCATGTCCCCCATGTCCACCCTTGTCCCCCCGTGCCCCATGTCCCCCTGTGCCCCCCCCATGTCCCCCCATGTCCCATATCCCCCCAAGTCCCCCCGTGTCCCCCCATGCCCCATGTCCCCCCATGTCCCCCTGTGTCCCCCATGTCCCCTCGTGCCCCATGTCCCCCCGTGCCCCCTGTGCTCCATGTCCCCCCGTGTCCCCCCATGCCCCTTGTCCCCCCGTGCCCCTTGTCCCATGTCCCCCTGTGTCCCCCTTGTCCCCCCATGCCCCATGTCCCCCATATGTCCCATGTCCTCAATGTCCCCCCTTGTCCCCCCATGTCCCCCGTGTCCCCCTATGGCCCATGTGCCCCGTGTCCCCCATGTCCCCCTGTGTCCCCCCCGTGTCCCCGTACCTTGGGGCAGGTGCGGGTGCAGTTCATGATGGTGTGGCAGCGGTACAGGGAGAAGGGATCCTGCAGCTGCGCCAGCCGCTCCTCCGTGAACTCATCGCGGGAGTCGATCATCCAGCGGTACGCCTGGGGACAGGGACAGGGCTGGGGACACTGCTGGGGACAGGGACACTGCTGGGACAGGGACACTGCTGGGGACTGCTGGGACACTGCTGGGACACTGCTGGGACACTGCTGGGACAGGGACACTGCTGGGACACTGCTGGGACACTGCTGGGGACATTGCTGGGACAGGGACACTGCTGGGACACTGCTGGGGACATTGCTGGGACAGGGACACTGCTGGGACACTGCTGGGACACTGCTGGGACAGGGACACTGCTGGGACACTGCTGGGACAGTGCTGGGGACAGGGACACTGCTGGGACAGGGACACTGCTGGGACACTGCTGGGACAGTGCTGGGGACAGGGACACTGCTGGGACAGGGACACTGCTGGGACACTGCTGGGGACACTGCTGGGGACAGTGCTGGGACACTGCTGGGACAGGGACACTGCTGGGACAGGGACACTGCTGGGACACTGCTATATAAAATATAAATATATATAAAATATATTTATTATTTATATATATAAAATATAAAAATTTTATATTTTGTGTTTTTCACATCCTGTGCTGCATTAGTGCCCAGCTCTGAGCCGGGAACTCAGACACTGAGAAGTACAAACAAAATCAGTTGTGGGGCAGCAAACTGGGGGTTAATGACTTCATCATCGGAGCATTAACCCCTGATAGATAAATGGGGTTAAAAATTTATAATTGCCTGAAAAACTTGTGCCCATTGTCCACTTTGGGTGCAACCTCAGAGGCTCCTGATGGAACAGCCACTTTGCTCTCTGAACCCTGCCTGGCCCCTGCTCTGGGCATTGACACCAGCCAGGTGACACCGGCCAGGTGACACCAACCAGGTGACACCGACCAGATGACAAAGGCTCTGTCCTCACCTGCATGAGCACGGCGGGGCCCAGGTACTTGTCCCCGTTCCACCAGTAGCTGGGACAGCTGGTGCTGCAGCAGGCACACAGGATGCACTCGTAGAGCCCGTCCTGCAAGGGAGGGGACACAGCAGGCTGTCACCGCGGGGTGGGTGACACAGGGGATCCACCCCTGTCCTCACACAGCAGCTCCCAACGAGCCCAACCCTCCTGGATGGGGCCCAGGAGCTGCCCCCGTGGTCCCCCCGTGGTCCTTGTGGTCCCCCCGTGGTCCTCGTGGTCCCCCCATGGTCCTCGTGGTCCCCCCGTGGTCCTCGTGGTCCCCCCGTGGTCCTCGTGCCCCCCTCCCCTCCCAGGTTATTCTGTGGTTCCAGGAGCCACACGATGAACCAGGATCTGGGACAGCAGGGGAAGGGCATGGCCTGGAGAGGAAGGGGAAGCTGCTGGGTCCTCCTGCTCTCCCACCTCGGGTTGTCCTCCATCCCTGCCTCGGTTCTCCTGCTCTCCCACCTCAGGTTCCAGCACTCCCACCTCAGGTTGTCCTCCATCCCTGCCTCAGTTCTCCTGCTCTCCCACCTTGGTTCTCCTGCTCTTCCAGTAAGGTTCTCCTGCACTTCTGCCAAGGTTCTCCTGCATTTCCACCTCGGCTTCTCCTGCTCTCCCAACCTTGGGTTCTCCTGCACTCCTACCTCAGGTTCTCCTCCATCCCACCTCAGGTTCTCCTGCACTCCCAACCTTGAGTTTTCTTGCTCTCCCACCTCTGGTTCCTGCACTCCCACCTCGGTTCTCCTCCCTCCCACCTCAGGTTCTCCTTCATCCCACCTCGGGGTCTCCTCCATCCCACCTCAGTTCTCCTCCATCCCACCTCAGCTCTCCCCCATCCCACCTTGGCTCTCCTCCATCCCACCTCCTCCCAGCCCGTCCTGGCAGGGATTTGTCCCCAGCGGCCCATCCCAGGTGTGCTCAGCAGGAAGGGAGGGCAAAGTCTGCCTGGCAGCCCCGGGGCACAGCCTGTCCTTGAGGGCACCCCTGGCACAGGAACGGGGCTGGTCCTGGATTAACTCCCCCTTTTCATGGGCAGCTTTCTCTCCAGACACAGGAGAGAAACACACACTGCTCTCCCACCTCTCCCTGAGATGGGAGAGCAGGAGAACCTCCTCGTGGCCCAGCAACTTCTCCCAGGCAGAGACAGAGCCCAGCCTGGCTTAATTCACATTCCTGAAAGTTATTCTGGGATAAAAGTTTGAGCTCAGGGAGATGCTGAACTCCCAGCAGCTCCGAACAAGCCTTTGGGAAGAGCTGCCAGCCCCGAGGGCAGAGCTCCCTCTCTTCACTCCAAATCCAATTTTTAACTGCACCACTCCAAACGCTCGAGGATCTAAAGGAATCCTTCAGCCAAACCCCAGTTCCTCCTGCACACAGGCTGATCCCAAAGGGAGAGGAATTCCAGCAAAGGGATCCAGAGCCGTTTTCCAGGTGTGGCTTCTGGGTTTCCTGGGTGCCACCTGGCTGAGAAGGGGACTCTGAGGGCAGGGAAAGTCCCTTCAGAGATGGAAGTGGTGCAGGAGAACAAACTGCAGCCTCTGGACAGAGATTCCTGCAGCCTGTCCAGCCCTGGGGCTGCTCAGGGGACACCTGCAGCGCTTCCCTGAACCCCCTTTGCTCAGCCTCCCTTCCTGCTGCTCACATCCACCTCTGCCTCCCCAAAACGGAGATTTGGTGCCTCCACAGCAGAGCAGGGACAGGCTGAGCTCGGAATCCTGGAATGCTGGATCCATCCTGGCAGCTCAGGGGAAAAACCCCTCCTGATCTGCTGCCAATCCCTGGGGCAGCCAGGGAAATCCACCCAAACCCTGGCCACACCACCAGCCTTGAAGGAGCTGTTCCTCATCCACCCTCAAAAAAATCCTCTCAAAATCCCCCCTGCTCAACACAGACACCCCAAATCTCACACTCTGGCTTCTCCCAGATTTCCAGGCTGCAAACCCCCAGCCTCTACCCACTGGAATGCTCCAGCCTGGAACCTGCAGAGTGCTCCCAGCAGCAGGAATTCCACAGGGGAATGGGATGGGGGGAGGGAATGGGATCAGAGCCCCCCATGGCAACACTGTGGGACCGGGAAGGGCTCAGCTGTGACCCCGGGCTGCCCTGGGAGGGGTGTCAGCACTGAAATTGCAGTGACCAGTTTCTGGCGGTCCTCTATGGACTGCAGGTACTGCTGCTTGCCCTCCTGGGACTCGTCCTTCTTCTTCAGGTAGGGCTGGATGGATTTGTACTGGGCGTAGAAGTTACTCAGGTCCTGGGGCAGGAAAGCACAGGGATCTGGTTATCAGGAGAATCAGGGAACATCACCCAGCTGGATCCACCCCAAATCCCACCCTGCTGTCCAAACCCTGGGGCCCCACCCTGAGGGGCAGAGCCTCTTCCCAAAATCCCACCCAAATCCCCTCCTGGCACAGCTTCACACCGAATTCACACCAGGAGGTGCCATTCCCTCCCCAGACCTGCCACATTCCGGGCCAGCACAGCTTTAGTCACTGGGACCCACCCAAAACACTCGTGAGCCCTGACCCTGACCCTGGTGGCAGCTGCCACACCCTGGTCCCAGCGCAGGGTGTCCCCTGGCCCTGCACTCACCGGAACCAGGTCCTTCACCACGTACATGTGGGGCAGGGGGTAGATTTTGGTGACTTTGCTGAGGTCACTGTCGATTTTTTTGATGCAGGCCAGGGTGTTGCCACCAGCGATGTTCATGGCGCAGGAGCCGCAGATCCCTGAGGGGGGAAAAGCAGAGACAAGTGTGGGATTCTCCCTTCCGGCCCCAAAAATCCCCCTGGGATGTCCTGGGGTGTGGGAATCCAGAGATTCCCTCTGGCTGCCCTGGCAGGTCTGGGACCCTGTAATTTCTGGGTTTGGAAAAGGAATCTTGGGATTCACGTCTAGAGGAAAGAAAAAATACATCCCTTCAAACACAGTATTCCCTGGTACAGGGGGAGTTTGAAAGTTTCTGAGGGATTTTGGGAATGCTGCATTAGAAGTCAGTACGAGCAATAAAAAAATAAATCCAGTTTCTGGGTTTGGAAAAGGAATCACAGTATTGATGTCTTGAGGAAAGAACAAATCTATACATCTGGATACAGTCAGTATTCCAAAGAATTTCCAAAGTTTCTGAGGGATTTTGGCAATGCTGGATTAGAAATCAGCATTAGAAATAAGCAAATACAGCATTTCTGGGGTTGGAAAGGGACTCTTGGGATTCATGTCTGGAGGAAAACACAAACATGTGGGAATCCAGAGCTTCCCTCTGGCTGCCCTGGGACCCTGGCAGGGCTCAGGAACCCCCCTGGACAGAGCCCCCAGAGACACTGTCTGTGATCTCTGCCCATGGAAAAGAGTTTTCAATCTTACAGGATGAATTACCAGCTCTGAGTGTTTGATATCAGTAATAATTAAGTGTGGCACGGGTGCAAATGTAAAATTTTAGGATTCTAGATTAGGGTTTCAAAGGGGACAAGATGGAGGAAATTGGGTGTGCCTTGTCCTTTTTCTCCTTCTTCATGCCCTCCATGTTTCACTGCGGTGTTGGCATTTTTCTGTTGGTTCAGGCTGGGGACACACTGTCCAACGTAGGTGACAGATATTGGCACGTTATTGTAAATCCAGCACAGGTAGTTTGTGGTATTTAATGTTTGTACCATCCCACTGAGGGCAGAGCCCCACACGCTGCCCTGCAGGACAGAGCTGCGGCAGGGCAGCAGAACATGTTAGAGATAAACAGAATAAACAACCTTGAAACCAGCACAGACGAATTATGGCTTCTGCTTTGGCAGCGGGGCAGAAAGACAGAGACTTTCTACAACCTTGGAATCATCAATACCTCAGATTCCGACACTGGGGAAACTCTACTCGGCTCTTCCCAATCTACCAGGATCCCAAAAAACCTATTCCCAACCTGACAGGTCTTGGAAAACCCCTTCCCAAGCCACCAGGGTCCTCACCTTTCCCAGAAAACCTCGTCACAGGTTCTGGAAAAGCCTTTTCCCGCTCCTCCAGAGGCCTCACCCATCCCAAAAATCCCCTCTTGCTCTATCAGTGTCCTCACCTGCCCTGGAAAACCTCTTCCCAACCTGCCAGGGTCCCAAAAAACCTCTTCCCAGTCCACCAGACTCCCCAAAAAAACCCTCCTGCTCCAGCAGGGTCTTCATCCACCCCACAAATTCCCAAGATGAGAAGAAGGCCAGAATTCACTGCTGGGGTTGGACATTTTTTAACTTCAGCAAGGATCAACCACAGGAGCTGCTGCTTCCATCAGCACCAAAACCCAATTTTCCACGGGGCAGCTCCTTCCCCAGCAGCAAATGAGGGGGCTTGGGTGTGATCTGGGGAGAGGAGAACATCCAGCCTTGCTCTCAGGCTTGGGGAATAAGGTGTGAGGTGTAATAAAATAAATTAAAAATATTTTAAATAAATAAATAAATAATGAAACCCACACTGAAATGTGCCCAGGAGGTTTGGGAATCTCCAGAGAGGGAGATGTGGCACTGTCCAACCTTTTCTGCCCCTAAAAGCCCCAGGTCAGCCTGGTTTTGTCCTTCCTTTCTGTGCTGGGAGGTCACAGGACGGATCCAAGCTGTAGTAAACCCACAAATATGCTGCTACTCATAAGATTAGCTGACAGAGGAGGTGCTAATCCCCCCCTTTTTTCCCCTAATCCCCCCCTTTTTTCCCCTAAAACCTGGAATCCAGGCTGACACCGCTCTTCCTCTCACACCCTTGGAGGTGACAGGATGGATCCAAGTGACAGCAAACTCACACACCCTCATCAACCTCACTCTACCCTTTTATCCCTCTAAAAGCTGGAGTTACACTCCAGGGAAATAACTTTTTTCTGAAGGTTCAGCTGGAATTTTTGTGTTTTAATGGAATTTTTGTTTTAATTTGTAGCTGCTGCTCCTTGTTCTGTCTCTGGGCAACACTGGGAAGGGTCTGGCACCATCCCCTGGCACTCCCTGGAAATATCTGTAAGGACTGACAGGATCCCCTCTCAGCCACAGCCTCTCCTCACAAAAGGGGAATAAAACAGCCCAAACCATCCCAAAATTCAGGAATTTAACCCCATCCCCCCAGGCAGGAGCCCCCTCCCCTTGTGCTCGTTCCCAGGGCACAAACTGCCCTCCCAAAGGTGACAGGAGGCAGCACAAAAACAGACAGGAGGGGCACAAAAATAGCCCAACAAAGGGATGAAATGACACCTCTGAGGGTGTCCCAGCCCCTGCAGTGCCACGAGGTTTTCCTCCCACTGTGGAAAGGCTCCCAGGCATTTTCCAGGCCACGGGGTGGAACCAGCCCGGCCTGAAAACCCGGCCAGAATATTCGGGGCAAAGTTCTGCCTGTCTGGGAGCCCCGCTCCGTGTGGAATTCCTGCCCTGCCGTGCAGATTCCAGGGGAAAAGGTGCCTCGGGAGCGCTGCTTTCCATTCACAGCCCAGACAAAACATCCCCAGGCACCGCCTGCCCTCAGACTGCCCCTGCCTGCAGACCCACCTCGTTCATGCAGAGTCATTCCAGCCAGGAATGCACTCCCACAGCTCAGCAGGACCCTGATCCTGAGTCATTCCAGCCAGGAATGCACTCCCACAGCTCAGCACAACCCTGAATCCAGAGCCATTCCAGCCAGGAATGCAATCCCACAGCCCAGCAGGACCCTAATCCCGAGTCATTCCAGCCAGGAATGCACTCCCACAGCCCAGCAGGACCCTAATCCTGAGTCATTCCAGCCAGGAATGCAATCCCACAGCTCAGCACAACCCTGAATCCAGAGCCATTCCAGCCAGGAATGCACTCCCACAGCCCAGAAGGACCCTGAATCCAGAGCCATTCCAGCCAGGAATGCACTCCCACAGCTCAGCACAACCCTGAATCCAGAGTCATTCCAGCCAGGAATGCAATCCCACAGCGCTCCCACAGCCCATCAGGACCCTAATCCAGAGTCATCCCAAACAGGAATGCACTCCCACAGCCCAGCAGGACCCTGATCCTGAGTCATTCCAACCAGGAATGCAATCCCACAGCTCAGCACAACCCTGAATCCCGAGTCATTCCAGCCAGGAATGCAATCCCACAGCCCAGCGTGACCCATGACTCAGGAGTTTTTCCCAGGGGAAGTCTGAGAGCAGCCCCAGAGCAGATTTGGGAGCAGCCACAACCCCAAATCACCAGTGCCCTTTTCCGCAATCCACCCCTGCCCTCGGCCAAAGGGCCAAGGAGAAGATTCCTGGAGCTGTTCCTCGAAGTCCCGAGTGCTCTCTCTCCCAGTTCTCCCAGTTTGATGCCCACAGCAGCACTGGCACAGCCCTGCCCTCTCAGCCTCGCCGCTGGAATCTCTCCCTGACCTCCCCACGCACGGGGAGGCAGCACAGGAACCAGACTGGGAGAGAAACTGGAACAACTGGGAGCTGTGGAAGGAATTACTGGAGCTGGTAGCTCAGAGCTGTGTCATTACACCCTGGGAGCACCAACTCCAGCTTTACTCCTTGGTTCATTTGGGTGTTTTATCCCCACAGGTGGAGGAAAGAGGCTCTGAGTTTGATTCCTTGGTTCACTTGGGTGTTTTATCCCCACAGTGAAAGGGGAAGGGTTCTGAGTTTTATTCCCTGGTTCACTTGGGTGTTTTATCCCCACAGTGGAAGGGGAGGGGTTCTGAGCAGTTTTACTCTCTGGTTTGGATGTTTTATCCCCAGAAGTGAGAGGAGTTCTAAGCAGTTTTACTCAGTTCATTTGGGTGTTTTATCCCCACAGGTGGAGGAGAGAGGTTCTGAGTTTGATTCCTTGGTTCACTTGGGTGTTTTATCCCCACAGTGGAAGAGGAGGGGTTCTGAGGAGTTTTAGTCCCTGGTTCATTTGGGTGTTTTATCTCCATGGGTGGGAGAGGAGGGGTTCTGAGGAGTGTAGTGTGACCCCTTGGTGTTTTATCCCCACGGGTGGGAGATGAAGGGCTCTGAGCAGTTTTACTCCTTGGTGTTTTACCCCCGTGGGTGGGAGATGAAGGGTTCTGAGGAGTGTGACCCCTTGGGTGTTTTATCCCCACAGTGGAAGGGGAGGGGTTCTGAGCAGTTTTACTCCTTGATTCGTTTGGATGTCTCTAAAACACCCCTTGGTGTTTTATCCCCACAGTGGAAGGGGAAGGGTTCTGAGGAGTTTTACTCCCTGGTTTGGATGTTTCATCCCCAGAAGTGAGAGGAGAGGGGTTCTGAGTAGTTTTACTCCCTGGTTCACTCATGTGTTTTATCTCCATGGGTGGAGGAGAGAGGCTCTGAGTTTTGTTCCTTGGTTCACTTGGGTGTTTTATCCTCATGGGTGGGAGAGGAGGGGTTCTGAGGAGTTTTACTCCCTGGTTCATTTGAGTGTTTTATCCCCAGAAGTGAGAGGAGAGGGGCTCTGAGCAGTTTTACTCCTTGGTGTTTTACCCCCACGGGTGGGAGATGAAGGGTTCTGAGGAGTGTGACCCCTTTGTGCTGTTTTATCCCCACGGGTGGGAGAGGAGCTGTTCTGAGCTCTCTGTGCCCCACAGCCAGCACACACAGCATCCCAAGGGCATTCCAGGTGGGAATGTGCTGTCCTTACCCTCCCTGCAGGACCTGCGGAAGGTCAGCGTGGAGTCCATCTCGTTCTTGATCTTGATCAGGGCATCGAGCACCATGGGCCCACACCTGTGGCAGAAACCCCAAATCACCGATTTCTCTTGGAGGAACTCCTGGAGGGGTTTGGGGTGGAGCCTATGGGAAGCGTTTGGGGCGGATTCCTCTGGAGGAGCCCTTGGGAAGGGTTTGGGGTGGATCCCTCAGGAGGAGTTCGTGGGAAGGGTCTGGGGTGGATTCCTCTGGAGGAACTCCTGGAAGGGTTTGGGCTGGATTCCTCTTGGAGGAACTCCTGGAAGGGTGTGGGGTGGATTCCTCTGGAGGAGCTCCTGGAAGGGTTTGGGGTGGATTCCTCAGGAGGAGTTCCTGGGAAGGGTCTGGGGTGGATTCCTATGAAGCAGCTCCTGGAAGGGTTTGGGGTGGATTCCTCTTGGAGGAACTCCTGGAAGGGTTTGGGGTGAATCCCTCGGGAAGGGTTTGGGGTAGATCCTTCTGGAGAAGCTCCTGGGAAGGGTCTGGGGTGGATTTCTTTGGAGCACCTCCTGGAAGGGTTTGGGGTGGATTCCTCTTGGAGGAACTCCTGGAGGGGTTTGGGGTGGATTCCTCTGGAGGAGCCCTTGGGAAGAGTTTGGGGTAGATTCTTTAGGAAGGGTCTGGGGTGGATCCCTCTGGAGCAGCTCAGGGAAATCCAGGCCCAGCATCCACAGGGAGGTTTCTGAGCCCCTTCCCAGGATCCCAGGGAAGCAGGAGCTGCTCTGGGAGAGCACAGCCAGGAGTGGATAAACCATGGGAAGGGTGGATAGAGCTCCCACCAACTCTCCCTGGGAATTGTGAGCTGCACATGGAATTCCCTTCTGGAATACACAATCCCAGACCAGGCTGGGCTGGAGGAACCTTCTCATTCCATTCCCAGGGGCAGGGACACCTTCCTCTATCCCAGCTGACTCCAAGCCCCATCCAGCCCGGCCTGGGACACTGACAGGGATGTGGAAGCCACAGCTTCTCTGGGAATTCTGTGCCAGCCTCATGGGGAAGAAATCCTTCCCAGTATCCCATCCGAACCTCACCCAGGGAAGAATTCCTTCCCAATATCCCACCCAAACCTCTCCTCTTTCAGTTCAAACCCTGTCCCCTGTCACTGCTCCTGACACCTGCCAGGCCCCCACCTGGCCTTGGGAAAAGCTGCTCTCCCTCTTCTTTGGCAGCCCCCAAACTTCCCAAATAAATCAAGTTTATTAAAGCCACCAGCACCTCTTTAACCCACCCCAGGGATGGTCCAGAAATGTGGAAAATCTGCTTTTTCCTGGGATAACACCCATGGTGCCTGTAAAATCTGCTTTTTCCTGTGAAAAATCTGCTTAAATCTGCTTTTTTTCCTGGGATGACACCTCCAGTGGCAGTGCCCACAACGAGCTGCTCTGTGCCAGAGGTGAGCAGCCCCTTCCCTGGAGCCGGGATTGCTCCCAGCCCCATTCCCAAGGGACACCCACTTGTTCAGGTCCACCTCGTAGGTCTGCATGCGGGGCTTGTCCCCGGCCTTGTCGGGGTCCCATCTGTAGATGGCGAATTTCTTCAGCCGGGGCGCCGCCGCCGCTGCCGTCTGCGCCTGCCGCAGCACCTGGATCCAGGGAAAAGGGAAAAACAGCCTCAGATCCAGGGAAAAACAGCCTCAGATCCCACCCTGGATCCAGGGAAAAACAGCCTCTGATCCAGGGAAAAACAGCCTCAGATCCCACCCTGGATCCAGGGAAAAACAGCCTCAGATCCTGGGAAAAACAGCCTCAGATCCTGGGAAAAACAGCCTCAGATCCTGGGAAAAACAGCCTCAGATCCAGGGGAAAACAGCCTCAGATCCCACCCTGGATCCAGGAAAAACAGCCTCAGATCCAGGGAAAAACAGCCTCAGGTCCCACCCTGGATCCTGGGAAAAACAGCCTCGGATCCCACCCTGGATCCAGGGAAAAACAGCCTCAGATCCCACCCCGGATCCAGGGAAAAACAGCCTCAGATCCCACCCTGGATCCAGAGAAAAACAGCCTCAGATCCAGGGAAAAACAGCCTCAGATCCCACCCTGGATCCAGGGGCCCAAATCGCACAGCCCCTCTCCCACTGACCCTACTCCTTCCCAAATCCCACAGCCCCACTGCCACTGACCCTATTCCTTCCCAAAACCCACAGCCCCTCTCCCGTTGACCCTATTCCTTCCCAAATCCCACAGACCACTCCACCCACTGATCCTATTCCCTCGTACCCACCCCATTTCCCCATGAACTCTTCCCAGATTTTACCACATCCCAGTCCCCCTCCAGCCCCCCCGGAACTTTCCCACTGCCCACCCCAAATCCTGCACAGCCCCTTCCAGATCCCACAACTCTCTCTCTCCCACCCTTTCACCCTGCCCACCCCAATTCCCTCTTCCAGATCCCACAGGCCCTCTCCAGCCCCCTCCCCACAGCTCCTTCCCTCCTCTTCTCCCACCACTCTTCCCACCTTGGACCTCATCTCCTCCTGCCCATCCCCAATTCCCACACAGACCCTTCCAGACCCCACACTCAATTCCAGACCCTCACTCCAATTCCAGACCCCACACTCAATTCCAGACCCCACATTCCAATTCCAAACCCCACACTCCATTTCCAGACCCCTGACTCCAATTCCAGACCCCACACTCAATTCCAAACCCACAAACAATTCCAGACCCCACAAACAATTCCAGACCCTCACTCAATTCCAGGTCCCACACTCCAATTCCAGACCTTGCACTCCAATTCCAAACCCTCACTCAATTCCAAACCCTCACTCAATTCCAGACCCTCACTCAATTCCAGACCCACACTCAATTCCAGACCCTCACTCCAATTCCAGACCCACACTCAATTCCAGACCCTCACTCAATTCCAGACCCCACACTCAATTCCAGACCCTCACTCCAATTCCAGACCCACACTCAATTCCAGACCCTCACTCAATTCCAGACCCACACTCAATTCCAGACCCCACACACAATTCCAGACCCCACACTCAATTCCAGATCCCTCACTCCAATTCCAAACCCCACACTCCAATTCCAGACCCACACTCAATTCCAGACCCCACATTCCAATTCCAAACCCCACACTCCATTTCCAGACCCTCACTCAATACCAGACCCTCACTCAATTCCAAACCCTCACTCAATTCCAGACCCCACATTCAATGCCAGACCCACACTCAATTCCAGACCCACACTCAACTCCAAACCCCTCACTCCATCCCCAGCCCCCTCCCCACCTCTCCCTCTCCCCCTCACCTCACCGCCCTTCCCTTCCCCGCCCACCCCGGACCCCTGCAGCCCGCGGCCGCCTCTGCCGCGCTTCCCCTGCCTCCCCGGCCAGCCGCGGCCCCTCACCGCCCGCGGCCCGGCCCGCAGCAGCCGCGCGGGGACTCGGCCCCTCAAGGAGACTCCGACCGCGGCCGCCGCCATCTTGGCGCTGCGCAGTTCCGCCCGCCCGGCCCGCCCCGCCGCCGCCATGTTGCGGCGCTGGCGGGAAGGCGCGCCCGCCATTTTGTGTGTGGCGGCGCCCTCAGGACAGGCGCCATCTTGGGTGTGGCGCTTTTCACCCCCGCCTCAGGGGTGAAATTCCCAAAATTGGAATTTGCGGCGCTTTTTTTTTGCGCTTTTTGGGCTTTCTCCATCTTTATACCCCACCTCAAGCCAGGCTCCTGCCAGTGCTGCTTCATTTTGAGGGCATTTCACGTGTTTAGGGTATCGGGGACAGACACAAGCACATCACTATCGACAACGGGGACACGGCAGAGTGGCGGGGCAGGACGCCTAAATTCCCCTTTTTCTTTCCTAATTCCCCTTTTTCTTTCCTAATTCCCCCCTTTTCTTTCCTATTTCCCCCTTTTTCTTTCCTAATTCCCCCTTTTCTTTCCTAATTCCCCCTTTTTCTTTCCTAATTCCCCTTTTTTCTTTCCTAATTCCCCCTTTTTCTTTCCTAAATCCCCCTCGTTTTCTCTCCGCTAATGTGAAAAAACACCAATCACTTGCTTTTTAAAATTTTAAAAGTTTAATAATAATAAAATGGTTATAAAAATAATAATACTGTTAGAGTAATAAGGTTTAGCATTAGGACAATTACAAGACAATAAAAAGCAAAGAATTACGGATGTCCGGATGGTCTCGGACACTAAGTCATGAAAAGCATCCTTTGTGAACAAAGGAATCACCCTTAAACCAATACATTTGTTGCATATTCATATATCCTTCATGGTTATGCATACATTCTATTTAAAACAATAAACTCTGTCTGTTGTATGTCAACTATTCTTTTAATCCCCATGGCATCTTTGAGTCTGAGCAAGGCCTGAAGAAATTAGTTTCTTCTGATAGGAAAACCATAAATTCCTCTCCTTTGGAAGATTTAGGTGTTCCTCGAAGCGAGTATCTCATTCCCAAAAAAAAAAAACTTCCCCACATACATTGTCTCTATTTTAACATTATGTTGGAACTTAAAACTATATTTAACACACTACTTAAGAGAATTAATACAGCAACACTTTCTAACATTACACATATAATATTCATTGTAATATTTGTGAAAAGTCAATCATAACATATGCATTTTTCACATCGGGGACAGACACCAAGCACGTCACCATCAGCAACCGGGACATAGCGGAATGGCAAGGCAGGACACCTAAATTCCCCTTTTTCTTTCCTAATTCCCCCTTTTTTCTTCCTCAATTCCCCTTGTTTTCTCTCCGTTAATTTCCAGCATCATTATTTTGTATGGAGGTACCTGTGCTGCCATCCCCCTCTGTGAAAAATGCATATTTTATGATAGACTTTTGGCAAATGCTACAATGAATGTTATATGTGTAATGTTAGGAAGTTATGCTGTATGAATTCTTTTAAGTAGTGTGTTAAATATAGTTTTGGGTTACAACATAATGTTAAAATAGAAACTCTGCAATGTAAGATTTGTTGCAAGCTCAAGCAAAAAAATGAGATAATCAAGAAACTCTTCACACAGAGATGTCAGCGAAGGGAGCCCATTAAAAGTTAGAGCCTCCTTATCAGAAAAAACATTCTTCCACCTTCCGTCTGTCTTTTTAGAACCAACAAGATTAAAAAGAAGAAGTTGACAAAAACCAAAAAAGTTCTTAATTTGCAAAGAATTTATGCATCATGTATGAAATATATGAATATGCAACAGGCTGTTGCTTTTAAGGGTTATTCCTTTGTTCACAAGGTATGCTTTTCATGACTTAGTGTCCGAGAGCATCCAGACGTCCGTAATTCTTTGCTTTTTATTGTCTTGCAATTGTCCTAACTCTAAACCTTATTACTCTAATTATATTACTATTTTTATAACCATTTTATTATTATTAAAATTTGAAAATTTTAAAAACTAAGTGATTGGCATTTTTCACACCCCCTCAAGGGGACCTGCCCCGGTATCAATGGGGCAAATGGTGGGCACTGGGGAGCAATGAATCCCAGAGATATTAAGGTGGGATGTAATATATGATTTAGAATAAATTCGTGCTCAGGACTAAAAATACAGTATCCTTTTTAATGGGACCAAGTGCTGGGAAAGAGCAACATACACAAGATGAATTCCAGTCTCAAAAGATGGTTATTCTGAAGGATTATTCTGCCTAGAAGATAAGATAAATACTCATTTCCAGAACAAGATGTTTGAGGGGGTTACCATCTAACAGAATTTCAGCAGAGTATTCTGGGAAAACCTCTGTTTAGAAGCACCACAAGAAAAGAACGTGCATGAAAATGTGAAAAAGGACAAAAGGAAAACAGGAGGACCCTCCAGAATCCTGTTAAGTCTAGAAAGAGTATAAAAAACCCTCCAAACCTCCCTGGGCAGCCAAACAAAAATGCCCCCCTGTTGGAAATTGTTAGAGATGCACATTATATGATTGGCTTTTTGCATATATTAAAATGAATACTGTATGTGTAATGTTGGGAAGTTTTGCTGTATTAATCTCTTTTAAGTAGTGTGGTAAATATAGTTTTTAGGGCATAGCATAATATTAAAATAGAAACTATGTGATGTAAGTTACTTTTTGTAACTATCTTGAGGAATGGATAAGACAAACAAGAAATTATTTGCATGAAGATAACAGCAAAAAGACATCAAAATCCAGAGAATTATTGCCCATGTATGGGGACTGTTCAGACTTCTTCCAGATTTCTAGGAGCCAAGAAATTGATTTACAAGATAAAAGGGGGGCAGAAACTAAGCAGAAAAAAAAAAAATTGAATCATATATAAGATATATGAATATGCAACAGGCTATTGCTTTTAGCAAGGTGTGCTTTTGTGGCTTAGCACCCAAGAGCATCCGGACATCCATAATTCTTTGCTTTTTATTGTCCTGTATTGCTCTAACTCTGATTGTCCAAGTTCTTATTGCTCTAATTTTTACTACTATTTTTATAACTATTTTATGACTGTTAAACTTTAAAAATTTTAAGACAAGTTATTGGCATTTTTCACAGAAATGACGCAACTTTCCTAATTAGTTTTTAATTAATTGTGATAACTACTTGTAAGCAGTGCTGACTTTTAGCCGGCACAAGTTAAAACTTCTTCACAGACTCTTACTTCCATTTTGATCTTTAAATCACTGAAACCTTGAGTTTGTTAAAGCTGACCCTGACAAGTTTCAATAAAGCCAAAGGGAACTGAAGATTGGACATCTGGGATCTCAAATTTATGGTCCTTTAAGGACAGTAAGAGGAAGATACAGAAGAGATTGAGGCCTGAAAAAGACGAAAAAAGGATGATAAAAGAACTAAGGAATGTGGCCCAGCTTAGCATGAAGGGTAAGAAATTAATGATCAATACTGGACAGAATGCTAATCAATAAAAAGCATTATTAGAACCCGTGACCACTAATTTCTTTGTTAAAGATGTGTAGATAAATGAAAACATTTTGTATTGATGTGGAGGCTGGAGCTCTGTCAGCCACACACAAACCCTGGCTGAGTTTAAACAAAGCGACGCCTGACTTGCCAACACCACAAAAACAGTGGTAGAGACAATTTTGGAGGATTTTGGTAACTCCCCCACCCCTCTGAGTGCTCCCTCTCTTTCCCTCCCAGTTATTCCCGATGGAATTATTGATTAATAATTTATAATTAATTATTAGGTTATTTAATTATCCAGCTTTTTCCTCACAGCAAATTCATTTATTAAGGGAATCACAAGCAACACACACTGGGGGCAAAGGTGGAGGGAGAAGAAGGAGGAAGAGGAGGAAGCAGATGAAGAGGAGGAAGAGGAGGAGGAAGAGGATGAAGAGGAGGCCCGGCTAGGGCGCGAAGTGCCACCACTGGAAGGCGAAGGGCCGGCGCTGGACGCAGGTGCCACAGCGCACCTCGCCCAGGCTGCCGTGGTACGAGGCCACGTCCTCCAGGAAGAGGCAGCGCAGCCCCAGCGGCTCCAGCAGCGCGCGGATCCGCCGCTCCAGGCAGCACTCGCCGCCCGCCACCGGGCCAAACGGCTTGGGGATGCCCAGGTCCTTGGCCAGCACCATCATGGTGACCTGCGGGGTGACAGCGCTGTCAGAATGGGGGTGCCCAAGGGCTTGGGGATGCCCAGATTGGTCATGGTGACCTGTGGAGTGACACCAGGGGACATTGACATCAGAATGGGGGTGCCCAAGGGCTTGGGGATGCCCAGATTGATCATGGTGACCTGAGGGGTGACACCAACGGGGACATGGGCATCAGAATGTCAAGAACTTGGGGATGCCCATATTGATCATGGTGAACTGTGGGGTGACACTGAAGGGGACATTGGCATCAGAATGGAGGTGCCCAAGGGCTTGGGGATGCCCAGGTCCTTGGCCAGCACCATCATGGTGACCTGCGGGGTGACACCAGTAGTGTTGGGATGGATGAAGCCAAAGAACTGACACTCATCACCTTCCTACACCCTCCTCAGCACCTCTTTTTGCAGCTGCCCTTCCTCAGGATTCCAAATCCAACAGAATTCCCCCTTTTTAATCATTAAAACACTCCTCACCCCTTGCAATTTCACCACTTTTTTTAGAAACCTCACTGCAAGCACCACAAAGCCGCCAAACCTGTGTTATACTTGTGCTTATCCATGCCTGCCTGGATATATTTCCTTTTGCCAGACAGCTGGGTTTATTTTTTGGGAAAACTTTGGGGTAAACATGCCTCTCACCTTGCAATTTCACTGCTTTGAAATGGTTTTGCCTCAAAACCCCAAAGCCACTAAGCTGTGTTAGACTTGTGTTGATTTGATTTTTCCAGGAAAACTTTGGGGACTCATCCTGCCTGACTGAGTTGTTTTTTGGGGAGGACCCGAGGGTGGGAACCCCCCCAGGGTGGGAACCCCACCCTTACCGTGTTGGGGAAGTAGGGAACAGCTTTTCCCTGCTTGTCCAGCTTGAAGAGGGCCGGCAGGTCGATGATGTCCTCCTCCAGCAAGCCCAGCTCCTTCTTGAGGATATCCCTGTT